GTTCCCGACCGCACGCCCCCCCCAAGCATGCGAGGCCTCCAGGAGCCCCGACCCCTTAGTGGTCGTTTTCTTCTCCGTTGTTTTGCCGATCGGCGCGGGCCCTCGCACCCCCCTCTACCCCCCCCCTCATGGAGTAGATCTTGGCTGTTTTTGGATCCTCTCTCGAGCAGGTGTAGCCTCCTCTCCCCCATAAGACGCACTGCTACAAACAGTCGCACTAAGCAGAGGTCCAGAGTCAGACTCCACCCCCGTCCCTCCCCTGCCCGCCCAATGTCGAAACGCCGAATAAGAAAACGCTCACTTACCTTCTCTGCCCTGGGCGCAGCCCCGCCCTCGACGTGGCCCAGCCCCGCGTGTGCTCGGAGTTTTTGGGATGGCGGCGGGGCCCAAGCGGCGCGCTTCCCCGCGGGGCTCGGGTTCCCCTTGCTGGGTGCCCTCCTCCTCCTCCTCCTCCTCCTCGTCCTCCTCCTCGTCCTCCTCCTCGTCCTCCTCCTTTCCTCCTTTCCTCCTCCTCCTCCTCCTCCTCCTCCTCCTCCTCCTCCTCCTCCTCCTCTCTGCTTCCCCTCCTCTTCTCCTCTTCCTCCTCCTCCTCCTCCTCCTCCTCCTCCTCCTCCTACTCCTCTTCCTATTCCTACTCCTACTCCTACTCCTACTCCTACTCCTACTCCTACTCCTACTCCTCCCCTGTCCTCCTCATCCTCTATTTTGAGGGCACGCCTCACCTCCTCCTTCTCTCCTCCTCCTGTTCCTCCTCCGCCGTACCTATTCAGTCTGGGGGGGAACGTCGGCCCGGAATCGACGCTTGGCGCCGCCGCTGATCGATCGACCCCTTTCTCTTGTAACTGCCTGGAAAGAGGTCGAGAGCTCTTGGGCCAACGTGTTGACATAAACACGACGCCGTCGGAATTAGGATGGTTTTCGCTATGCTTGTTCCTACAGTCAGCTTGCGCACGGCCCTATACAGGGCCGTCCGGGGAGCCCAGAATCGTCCCAAACCGCCGCGTGGAATCGAACCATGGCCTGAAAACCAGGCGATGGGGCGAGCAGGATGAGATACGTCCCGTCTTGGACCTCGCTTCTCCCTCCTCCTGTCTCCCTCCTCTTCGCTCCTCCATCTTCTCTTCTCCCTCCACCTTCCGTCCGTCTTTCTCCGCGCTCCTCCCCCCTCCTCCTCCCTCCTCGCTTCTCCCTCCTTTCTCCTCCCTCCCCCCGCTTGTCTTTCTTGGACCTCCAGGGCCGTTCTTGTCGCCAAGTGGTCGTCGCGGTCGTCGTCGTCGCCCTGTCCCTCCACTCTTTCTGACCCCATCCTTGTTTGATGTTTCTTTCTCGATACGGGTGTCGTCGTAGCCCTCTTCGTCCTCCAACTCTTCGCAGCCTTCTCGTCATTCTGGCTCAATTCAATTCTGGGGATGAGAGCCCACGTGTCGCTTCTCTGGCTGTGCTCTGTAATCTTCTCCTTTCGTGGCCATACCCAGATTACTACACTTTCTCAAATGGCTTTTTTTCTGGCGCCCTTCCGCTCGGAGGCCCTACCAGTGCAGCAGCCGCACCTCCTCCCGCCCGCATAGGCGACGACGGTGACACCGACGTGGGCATGATGGTGATTGGAGCTGGTGAACAGGCGGCCCGTAGGCAGCGTGTGGGCGCTTCCCTGTTCGATCCAGAAGCAGCGGCCTCCCGACACAGACGACAAGAAGGACTCGATGAGGCCCAGACGCGCCTTCTGCGGGCAAAGGGCGCGATGATCAAGAAGGCGGCCGCACCACAGGAGGCACACATCACAGCGATGCAGGCCGATCTCATGACGGTGCAGACTTCTATGACATCTACTGAGGGAAAGCACATCTCTTTCGAAAGCCGGTTCGCCGCTCGAACTTCTAGGCGACGCGCCCAGCCGCCTTCTCAGCCGCCTTGCGTTCAAGTCTACGGCAGCTTTCGTTCCCATGGGCAGGCGCAAGGTCTCTTTCACCGGCGGTTTCAAGTGCGACGCCAGTGAAGAACTTGTCGAGCAAACGCGTAGTGGAATGGCTGGCAAGAGGATCATGTACCAACAAATCGTCTCCACGTCTTCATACTGCCAGTGGGTTCGAGTGCACTGCGCGAATTCTGAGCAGATGTTGCAGCTGGGAGGTTGGAGCTTCAAAGCAGCAAGTGAAGTCCGTCCAACCATCCTTGCCCGCTGTGCAGACATGCTTCCTGAATTTGACGGACTACGACTTCAGCGGGGCCCCAGACATCAAGAGCGACAGATGGGAGGTGGCCTTCCTCCCAGCTCGTCGTCGGGGCAGACAGCAGATGGCGGTCCCGATCAAATTGTTCGATTGCTGCCGTGTCTCGCACAAGATGATGGTAGCGCCGACGGCCGTCGCCCTCCTTGGCCGGCATTAACTTAGACTTGCGGCTGAAGCCCCCCTTGCTTGAGATCCAGGCGGCGGGCGAAGCCTGAGGCGAACCTTCCATCTCACCCAGAAGATGGCCATTGCGGCGCCTCCGGGATCATGCATGCATCTTGCCTTGGAAAGTGAGAGCTATCTCGCTGAAGGGGACGCCACATTTGTAATGAGAGATGCAGAGGAGAGCTGGCCTGGCGCATGTTTCTACTGCACGAATGTGTTGCCTTTCAGTGCCGATGTCTTTGAGCATATCGATGGACGTCGTGTGATTGTTGTCCCCTGCCCCCCCCCCCCCCCCAGGGGCAAGGACATGCAGAATGCGGCGAACATCCATCGTGACTGCGGCTGGGAGGTCGAGATCGCCGATCGTGGGTAACGCTACGCAGGTGCTGTGTGTCGACATTCTGAATTCGGTCGTGTACTCGCGGGATCAGCCCACCTAGACCGCTCAAAAAATAGGAAACGTCTGCGTGAGCGCCTCGCGGCGATCCGTAAGCACGTCCTGTCGGCCAGCTGACGCGAAGGTGATCATAGGTATGGGCGCCAGTGCGCATGTGGGCTCCATCGCTGACCTTGATATTGCCTCACCCCGCGTGTGCTCAGACTTCTGTCCCCATGGTGACCCCCCCCCGTCTGGACAAGCTTCCCTGGGAAGCTCGGGAACTATTCCTCGTCATGAATGATCTGAATCCTCGGGCTGATGCATGTTCCACTGGTGACGGCATGGCCATTGCGCTCGCTTCCCCGGCCCTGAACAGCGACGGATACCGATGCTGACCGACTCCGTGCTCACCAGGAACTTTCCACCATCTTGCTCTACGCGCGGCGCTGCTTCTGCGACGGCGACGATGTCGGCCCACGCGCCCACGCAGCTCCAGGTCAGGTCCAGGATCCCGCCAGCAACTGGACGATGGGCGCGGCGACGCGCCCGTTTTACCCGGAACCCATCAACTGGAAATGCCTTGGCGTTGCCGAGTCTCGCAATTCCCTGTGCGACGTCCTGGATATCGATTGCGTCACATCGGCTTTCTTTGGGGCGGGGAGGCTTTTGGATTTTCCTGGACGGGTCCTCCCACGATAAGTTTCTTTGGCTTCGCAAGCGAAATCGGGGCCGCTTCCTGGGGTGTGCCAGCCGTTTGTTCGATTATTTCCGACGGCGGTGCCGGCGGCCGGATCTCGCCCGATCGCGCGGGCGCGCGGCCCCGCATGCGCCGGGCCCGAGGGTCCCATCTATTACGGCGCGCGCAGGGAGTCGAACAAGCCAGTGAGCTGCTGGCCCCCGATCGAGGCATTCCGTTGGCGCCGTGCCAGGACCCCCTCCCTCCCGACATCAGGCTCATCTCTCCTAAGGCAAAGATTTTAGCTGTTCGATCCCCGTTGCGTGCGGTGGATCTGGTAGGGCCGCTGGCGAGCTCGCTCCCATCTGAGGATGGCGGCTGCGTTGTAGGCCCCCTGGCAGAGTGTGCGTTGGCGTTATCTAGTTTACCTGCCAGAATGGCGCATGGGCCATGCCTACGAGGTGGGCAGCGCCGCGGTTGACCTCCTCGCGAAGGCGGGGCATGACGTTCGCCCCCATCATCTCGCTCGCATCGCATGTCGCCCGTGCGCCTTGCCCGACTGACCCAGGGCGAAGCGGCGGGATCTCCCGGGTTCTTGGGATACCCCTTCGAGAGAGGAGGACGCCCGGGCCATCCCGCCGAAATCCGCCCTGACCTTGTCCGAGGACTGCCGCGCCGCCCCCTGCTCTCTGCCCGCCTGTAAACTCCTTAGATGCCGCCCCCGATCCCCCAAAACAAACCTTTGGCGAGCCCCCCTTGCAAACGACGACGAACGCCCAACGCGGCGAGGTCGAGGCCGTCGAGCCTATATCCCGCCCCCTCACCCCTGACCGCCGCCCGAGGACGCCCCCCCCCCCCCCCCCCCCCCCCCCCTCGCCAGCGCGGCCGCCGCCGCCGCCGCCGCTGCCGCCGCCAGTTCGGGAAGCGGGACATTCCGAGGCCCCCTTCGAGAAGCCCCTGGGCGCGCGCGCGCCCCGAAGCGACGGGCGGATATCCAGAACTTTGAACGGCCCGCCGAACATTTACTGAAGGACGAGACGTTGACGAGATGACACATTAGATACGTCGGGCTTGAGCACGAGTGCAAGTGGCATTTGGCTCAGCGACGCTTGGAGAAGGACATCCTTGCGCCGACCCGGCATGGTGGCAGCGTGCTTAACGAGCGGGGCGTTCTTACCTCGAGTCCCGTGGAGAACGCGAAGACTGCCGATGATTTTTCAGCGAGCTGCACCTTTCTAGAGATGTCCGTCTTTTCCCTGGCTGGTTCTACCGTCGCGGGGGCGGCGATGATTCACTGGCCGCTGGGACGATCGAGGTAAGCAGGGTCCGCGAAGCAATTCGCCGGATGGGGACGGGGAAGTCCTGCCCCCGGGGAGACATGATGCCCGTGGAAATATTCCTGGACGCTTGGGAGGATTGCTTCGAGATCCTGTCCGCTGCGTTTGGACCTAGGGCATTCGCCGACCCCGCGACGGACGCCCCTTTCGGGCTGGGATGAGCACGACGTTCATTCGAGCGAGACAATGATTCATCCATGGCGGCGCGGTCTTGGAGGCGCATCAGCAGGTCCTTTCCGAGCTCGGCTATCTGGCCAGTCGGCCCACTTCTCCGGGCCAGTTCTCTTCCCTCCCCAACCGCCAAATTCGACAATTGTTCCCTTGCGCGTGCTGGCTGAGAAAACACGATCGGGTTTCGGATTTCCTTGCGCGCGGTGGCTGGTGATCTTTACACGTGCTAACACTGCGTGAATCGCTGGATGCGGCAACGCGCTTCAAGCTCGCATGTGCGCGTGATACATTGGCCGCATCAATGATTTGTGGAGTTCGCACGGGCCCAGGGCGACTGCACCTCCACAAGCTACCTCCTTCGAAACCGATGCCCAGGAACGGGCCGCGGAAGTGCGACATCATTACGGCGCGCAGCTTGACGCTACCGTTCCTCCTCCTATGTAAGCGCGCAGGGCGGGGGCGCCCGACCGACCGCGAAGATCTCCGTGCCCTGGGCGCGAGTTACTACGCTTATCAGAAGTCAAATGCAGACGGCGGGGACATTGGGCGCGCCCCCATCCGCGCGTTCGCCGACAATCTTTGGACCCCAGGGTCAATGCAGTGATGATCATCTGGGCGACCGATGCTTGGCACTCGCTCGTTCGCGAAGCAGGCCGTCGGGCATATTTAAATGTGCAGTAGACGGCGACGGAACATAGTTCTTCGGTGCTCTCTATCTTGGACGTTCGAAATCCGCTTCCCAAAGTGCTCGGCCACCGGATCGCGTTCGACAGCAGCGCCTCGACGGAGGTCGACCGTCGAATCCTCGCTGCCTGGAGCCCTTTCAGCTGACACCGCCTTTTCACGTGCAGGGCTGGATCGACACCAAAGCGACTGCGGCTCCTTGATGCGTGCGTGCTCTCAGCGCTGACGTATCACGCGGGGGCCCTTTACCAGACCCAGAACCATCTCCAGAAATTTCAAGCTGTTCAGATCCCCGTGGGACGTAGAGCTCTTCACAAGAAAGTGGCCCCTCCTCCCCGGGGAGCTCACCGCCCCCCCCCCCTCCCCCCGATGGCACGACGCGGGAATACCATGCATGCGCCGACAGATCCGGATGGCCAGGCCCAGGACATGCCTAAGCTGGGGGGGGGGGGGTGATTTGGAGGAAGAGGACGAATTCGTTGATTCCTTCGGCGGCTACGCGAGCGACCATCTCGTTCACATCGCCCGATTCCGTCAGCATCACCTGCGCAAGACAGGCCCTGTGCGCTGGGGTGTGGTGTAGCTGCAACGCGTCTTCGACTGGCGCGGTCACGCGTGCCGCTCCGGGAAGTACGAACCTCACAGGTTGACCTGCAAGTGTTTCTCCCTCCCTTGAGAGGTCAGGAGTACCTCCGTGCAGTAACAACTCGGTACGGTGTCCCAGGCCCATGGATATGCGTTGAAGCCGTGGCGTTGGGAAAACCAGCTTAAGTTTTCCTCGTCCGGCTTCCTTTCTCAGGCTCTTACGATTAATGTTGAATCCCGACAAGACCTGAAGGCATCTATGTTTAATAAGATGACGACGGCGCGAGCCAGACGGTGACCGCCGAGCTGCGCCAGGCCGCGGCGTGTTCGCCCCCCCCTGCCCCCTCTTCCAGCTTTTGTTTGCCGTATGGCGTGCTTGCGGAGACTCGAACCTCTTCAATGCAGAGTCGTATCCCATAGTTTCCCGCCTCTTCGTGTCATGTGGATCCTCCTCCTCCTCCTCCTCCTCCTCTTCCTCCTGTTCCTTGTCACCCTCCTCCTCCTCTACGGCCACGCCCCCTTCCTCCATTGCCTTGATCGCCCAAGGAAAGATTCCCATGACTCTCTCGGATTGACATGCGGAAGGGCAGGCGGACAGGGCAGATCCCCTCCCTCTCGCTGCCCGCTGCCCCCTCCTCCTTCTCATGGTCCTTCTCGTCTTCCCTTTTCGCCATGCAGTGGGCACTTCGGATAGCACACCAAGCGTGCCAGGTCATTTCTGGTTGTGCCGCTCTTTGGGTGCTCCCCTAGTATCGCGCACTTGTCTTCGGGGGTCGTTCCTGTAGGGCTCAGGGGGGATGGCCCGCCGCCCAGAGTGAAACTTCGCATCGGTGGGCGCCCAGGTGTGCCTCCTGGGGCCGCTTCAGACTTCAAGGACCTCCGAGAGCTTGTCCACCCACGAAGCCCCACAAGCGAGAAGGAGAAGGAACGAGAGAGAGAGAGGGAAAGAGAGAAAGAGAGAAAAAGAGAGCGATACGCCGGCAGGTCTCCGCCTCCAGGGCCTTCCCCGCCGCTGGCGGCGACGCCGCCGCCTCCAGCAACGGCCCGAAGCTCGCGGAGTGTGCCCAGCTCTCCGAGTTCGTCTTGAGGCGCATCGTCCACTGCGTGGCGACGCTGCGGGGCCCAGAGGGGCGCGAGGGGCTGACGCAGGTAGGCGGCGCCGCCGCCGCTGTTTAGTGTTCCTGACCTCGTCGACATCGCCGGCCGCCGACGACGACTCCCTTGTGGCGTTGCACGGGCTCTGGTCACTAGGTCGCAGCGTCTGTCTAGATAACTATCGACTTGTGTAGGCGATGCGGTTGAGTAGCACCAAAGGAAGAGGATTGATAGATATGCCACAGGGTGAGCAAAATGACAAACATAACAGATGCCATATGAGAGGCCTTCAGCGGTACAGGGCAGACTCGCAACAAGTCGAGGAGCGGAAACGATCAAGCAACGAACAGGCATCCTTCGTTCGCTTCTCCTCCTCGGCCGGAGCCGGTTCGGCTCAGCATGCCCTTCTCCACGCGGGCCCCGCCTGCTAGCACTCCGCGAACACGGCTTCTTTCGCAGCTCGCTCTCTCCTGCAGCTCTCGGCCTTCGCGGTCTCGCGGCATTGTGGGGCGGCCGCCACAAGACGGGCAGGCCTGGCACACGTTGTCGGCTCTGCAGGCGGCCTTCCAGCCAGCAGCCTCTGTCGTGCCTTCCGAGGGCTTCCCTGGGTTCTCGTGGTCTCGCTGAGTCCTCTCTGGGCTCGCTTGCTGCCTCCGCCGCTGCGCCTCCCCAGAGAGTTCCGACGGTTCCTTCTGTTGCGACTTGGACGTTGGAGCACTCGACCCCATGCCCAGGACCGGTTTCTCGTTATGGCTCGTTGATTGACAGCTCGGGGACCGAAGTCGGCACCTGGACGGGCACAGGGTTGCAATGCATATCTGTTGGTTTTCGGTCGCAACGCCCCGAGTTCTGGGCTACCCTTTGCCAATCAAGATCATAATCATGTTTTGGAGCGCGTTCTGACCGAATTCCGAGGGCAACCGTAGGTCCACAACAGTGCGCCGAAGACCCTGACGTCCCTCCATCCTCTCCTCCTCCCTCCTCGCTCTCCTCCTCGTTCTCCCTCCTCGCTCCCCCCTCCCTCCTCGCTCTCCTCCCTCGTCGCTCTCTTCTCCCCCTCCCTCCTCGCTCCCCTCCTCGCTCTCCCTCCTCCCATCTCTCCCTCCCTCTCTCCGTCATGTGCTCGGCGCACAAGCTCGGGCCCCATGGCGTCCGTGCGGGTCGATCCTGGGCCCTCCCGGAGGACCCCCCGCGAGGCGCGACGGATGCAACGCACCCGTGGTGTTAAGTCGGCCGTTTCTCACTGCAGGAGGAGAATTCAAAAATAGTCAAAAAATGTCAGGGGACGATGTTTTGACAAGTTAGAATATGTTTGACTATGTTTGGGGTATTTTTAACTTTGCGTCCATAATTCGCCTGTAGGGGGTCACGCCCGAACAAACCGTGGTGCCCGAGGACTATGCTGGAGCCTCGCCCTCCCCCTCCCCCCTCCTCCCGCTAGACCTCCCCCTCCTGCTGAGCCCCTGCTGCTCCCCCCCCCCCGACCCGTCGGTGGCGCTGCGCGAGTACACGGCCCAGATGGCGCAGAGCGTCTGCGCCGACCTCGCGCAGTGGCCGCGCGAAGGGGGTGGGTGAAAGCGTGCGCGCGGAGGGAGGGGATGCCAGGCTACGACAGCGCAGGAAGGCGTCAGGCCAAGGTTCTCATCGAGCGAGCGAGAGGTGGACCAGCTCGGTGGCGAAATCCGAGCCCTGACCGTCGAACGCAATGATCGATCCCCCCCGCGCTACCCCTAGCGCTCACAATGGCAAAAGTCATTCCGGAAGGGTGGAGCCGCCGAACGATGTCGCTAGCATTCCAACTTCACCTGACAGTCCCTCGAGCTCCAGAGTCCTCAACGACTCTGTCTGACATCTGCGTGAATCCTCCGAAGTATTCGGCGTTTGGCTTTCCATGCTCCTCGGCTGTCCTGACGGGCTCCCCATCCTCAGGAGTATCACCCCCATTGCGCCGGAGACAATCTCTTACAACCCGCAAGGGATATACGCCAGACAAGAACCCCAATCAGTGGATGGGTTTGAAATGTGATCGATAAAGAGATCGATAAGGAGATCGACTGGGAACCCGGAACCCACCGAACCGAAATCGGCCCGGAACCAACAACCAGGAGTCCGGGAACCCGGAACCGGGAACCCGGAAACCCAGCCGGCTACCAAAAATCGGCGGGAAATTTCCGTCAAATCTTTCAATATCCGCGAGGACCCATTCAGTGTAAGCATTCATTGGAGAACGCACTGGTTGGGGAACATGTTCCCCCCCCCCCTGCCCGCCCCCCCCCCCTGTAACGGTCACGCCCCTGGCCCGGTCCAGTGCGCGATCCCGGGCAGCCCAGGGCATGTGGCGCACTGGGGCATGATTGGTGCCGCGGTGCACGCGGGCGTGCACTATGTGGTGTACGCAGGCAGTGCGGTGTACACCGGCGGTGTGGCGCACACCACTGTCGTTGCAGCAGCAGCTGTGGTGCCCTAATCAGTGTACGCAAGCATTGTGGTGTACACATCACAAGCCCTCCCTTGTGATGTACACAGGCGCCGTGATGTACTCTATCGCTGTAGTGTGGAAAGTAAGTCGCTTTGATGTAAGCGCGCATTGTGGGCTATGATGAGACCACACATTTCTTTCTACTTCTTCCTCCTTCTCCCTGGTAATTTTCGTCATCGTCGTCGTCCTCCTTGCGCATGCAGTATGCGGGCATTGTGGTGTACGCAAGCGCTGTGGTGCACACAGGCCTTGCGGTGCACACAGGCGTTGTGTTTCACGTTTGCTGTGGGTTCAAACTGTCCGAGCGTTCCTCTGGCCAGAAAAACAAGTAATCACAGTCTGATTACATACCAAACCTGATACATTCGTGCCCCCAACGATTCCCCGGACTTTTGCTCCGTCCGGGTCGCGGAGGTGTACATGCTGTTAGATGATGGCGTGCAGCTTGGCAGCTCTCTTGGACAAACAGCGCGCTCTTGAAACAAAATCGCGGGCCCCGAGCTGTCGACACCATGGTGGGGTTCCTTCTGATCCTCCTGCTCCTCCTGCCGGTGTTAATGTTCCCTCTGCTCCTCCTGCGTGTACTCCTTCGGCTGACGCCGCTCCGCGCGCCCCCAAGCCGGGTGGTGTTCATGGGCGCCGTGGTGCGCGCACTTGCCGTGAAGTGCACAGTCGCCATGGCGTACACAGGCGTTGTGGGCTCAAGATGTCCGAGCGTTCCTCGGGCCAGAAAAACAAATAAGCACCATCAACTCAGATATTGAATTTGATACGTTCGGGCCCCCTGCGATTTCCCGGAGCTTAGCTCCGTCTGTAACTTCAGGTGTATACAATTTTGTGGTGTACGCAGGAACTGTGGAGCACAGTGCGCAGGGGGTGCTGAAACAGCACCTGTGGTGCACACAGGCGCCGTGGTGTGCACAAACAGCGTGATATACAAAGGCGCTGTGGTGCACACGGTTGTTATGGTGTATGCAGTCGCCGTGGTGCACACAGATACAATTTCTGCAGCAGTTTTGGTGCACAAAGGCATTGTGGTGTGCAGAGCACGCGTTGTGTGCAAAGGCACAGTGGGCTGGACGACGACCACGACGACGACGACGACGACGACTTAGGCGGCGAGCCTCGGGGGTGTGCATCGCGCCCCCCGTTACTGTTTCCCTCCCCCCGGCTCCCCCCCCCCCAGGTAACATGTATTGTTTCCCAAGAGCAAAAGAATGGTCTCCCACCGACGTTATTTTGCACCCGTATTCCGAAAGTTCCCGCGCCCGTAATCGGCAACAGTGGTGAGAGTTACGGTGCATACAGTGGGGGCGCGCATCAAGAAACCATATGCTTTTCGTCCGGGTATCCTAGGTTTCTTCGCTCCTCGCGCTGCGCGGTGACTTCCCGCAGCCGTTGAAGGAGGTGCTGCGTTCAGGGTGCTCCGGGTTTCCCCCCAGGTGCACCTCGCGCACGGGTTCTCAGGGTTGGGTTTCTTGCAAAGGTTTCTTGCGGCCGCGCCCGCACTGTATTACGAAAGACAAAAGTGGAGGGCGTTTCTGATGGAGTTCCACGGTGGAGTCCCATGGTTCAGCCCGATTGGGATCTGGGATAATCATTCTTTTTGAATCCTATCACAACCCGATCGGAATCTGGTTGAGATATTAGTTACTTGGGTCATGTTGCAGGTTTCTTGTGCTTTCATTCGGTTTCGATTAGCGACTTGTTGAAATCCCATGCTGATCGGAGTGTGATCCCGCACTGAAGGGCCCTGGGGGCAGGATATGATTTCCAGCGGTTAGAGGCGGTACAGTTTCGCCAACAAAGAAGGTCGATAATTGGTTTCGACGGACGCCCCCGCCGATCAACGGCCCAGGCAGCTCGATGGGGGGCGGTGGTAGGTTTCGGGATTCGTCGAAAGGTGGCGAAATCCGAACCCTACCCCCGCCTCCCATCGATTCAGGACAATCGATGGTTGGTGGGCGTAGGTTCCGGATGTCGCCACCTACTAGAAGCCTCTGCCTGTTTCCCCTCGCCTGCCAGATCAACGCCTTCACACGTCATTTGGGCGTCGTGGCCAGGGATTCACGAGTGCGCTTGGGGGAAGCAGGGTGGTTCTCTTGGTAGAGCATACTGTCATGCAGACCCGCGAGGTCCATCAGCCGAGGGGAGGGGGTGGGAGGAGGAGGGGGGGAGAAGGGAGAGAGGATGGAGGTGGAGAGGGGTGGTGGGGGGAGGAGCAGGCGGGGAGGGGTGGAGGGATTCAATGGGGCAGCAGGACGAGCATTTGCTGCAGTAGGGCCTCCGATTCCATCGATTAAGTGGCAAGGTCTGGTGAGAGGGGGGGGCAGGGTGGAGCGCAGCGTTCACACCCAGGCAGAGCCCGATCAACGGAAGCTGGCCCCTGGCTGCGCTGCTGGAGGCGTGCAAGGGTTGGGGGGCCGCCCAGGAGACCACCGAGGGTAGTCAAGGCTGGCCTCAGGGGCTCCGCAGGGTAGCCCCGCGGGGGGTCTCTCGAGGCCCAAAGAGAGCCCGAAGCTCTCAGGAGCCTCGATCCTTAATCCTCTATCGAGGGCAGCGGGCAGCATCGACAAGTCATTACATTAGCTTGGCGAAGGACCCAACCATACGTACACATGCAGCTGCGATTAACGCAGGAGATACCCCTTTCATCGAAGGAAGCGCGCCGCTAGAGAGAGGCGGAGCACGTGGCAGCGCGGATGAGAGCCCCGAAACATTTGCGGCATGTGCCGAAGGGGGCGAGGGGGAAGCGACAGTGGCGCCTCGTCGTTGTCGTCGTCGTCGTCGTCGTCGTCGTTCCTGCCCTCCTCGTCATCGTCCTCCTGTTCCTCCTCCGCCTCTTCCGACGACGACGCATCTGGATGCCCCTGGAGGCCTCAGAGGACCCTGCATGCGTGTCGCGGCCACCGGGGCGATCGGTGGAGAGTTTTCTGGGGCGACGAAGCACGCGAGGGCTGTGCCAAAGTGCGGTGGCGGCGGCATGCGACCTTTCCCGCTGGAGCGCTCGATGGTGCTCCGTGTAGGGCCACGAAGCGTGTGAGGGGTGTGCCAAAGTGCGGTGGCTGCGGCATGCGACCAGTCCCACTTGGATTTCGGTGGAGCATAGGGCCGCGCAATGCGCGAGTGGTATGCCAAGCTGCGGTGGCGGCGGCACGCGACCTTTCCCAGGCGACTTTTCCCGTGTTGGCCTTCGGTGACGTCTCCTACGGGGCGACGAAGCGTTACAGGGTTTGCCAAAGGTGGCGGCGGCATGCGACCTTGCCCACTGGGGCTGTGCAGCTTCCTACTAGGCCCAGGCCGCGAAGCGTGCGAGGAGGGTGCCAACCTGGGCGGAGGAAGGCATGCGACCCTGGCAACTGAGGCGCCAGGTGGAGCCCCCCATGGGGCCATGAAACGTCAGAGGGGTGTGCCGAAGCAGATACTTACGAAGGGCAAATGTGGAATCGGAGGAGGGAGGAGGGGGAGGGAGGAGGAGAAGCGGGGCGATACGTATCCAGAGGATGTTTGGGGGAGAAATGCATCGAAGGCTGGAGCAGCTGGCCCACTTAGTGTCCCTGTACCACGTCCATGTCATCGACCTCGAGCGGGCCGGGCAGCAACTGCAGCAGAAGAATCAGGACGGAGCGTCCGCCCTCGGGTGCGTGCGTGCGTGCGTGTGCGCGTGCGTGCGTGCGTGCGTGCGTGCGTGCGCGTGTGTGTGTGTGTGTGTGTGTGTGTATGTGTGTGTGTCTGTGTGTCTGTGTGCGTGCGTGCGTGCGTGCGTGTGTGTGTGTGTGTGTGTGTGTGTGTGTGTGGGTGTGGGTGTGTGTGTGTGGTGGGGGTGGGGGGGGGGGTGTATGTGTGTATTGGTGTGTGCGAGTGTGTGTGTGTGTGTGCGTGTGAGAGTGTTTCGGAATAGAGTAAGCAACAGGGGGAGGGAGGGGGCCTGGAGGGTGGTGAGGGGAGGGGAGGGGAGGGATGTAGGCGGCAGGAGGGAGGAGGCATGGGGACGGGGGATGGGGAGACGCAAGTGAAGGATCAGAGGGGTGAGCAGCAGAGGCGAGAAGAGTAAGGCGAGGAGGGAAGCAGCAAGTCAGCCAGGACCTTGCCGCAGAGCTGGAGCAGGTGCGCGGAAAACTCTGGGCGGACAAGGCCCGGGTCAAGTGGCTGCAGGACGAGGAGCGTCTGGAGAAGACGAAGGCCCTTCCGGTGCTGCCTGGGAGTTTGTTTTTGTGTTTTCTGACTGCGTCCTGGCGGCATCCGGTCACGGCTTGGAAGCGCAGCGGCGGAGCACCCGATGACATGCGACACGGGGGCGTCAAGCTGCTAAGACGATCGGCGCCCATCCATCGTCTCATGTGCATTACAGTGCGCACCTTAAGTGAAACATCGGCGTGCCAACGGGTGCCCCTCGGAAATCTCTTATCACCCGATGGCCCCAAGGAAGCACGGATGCCCTGGGACATTTTCAGGACCCTCAGACATCAACGAAGAGTGTGCCCAGTGCATTTTGAGAACAGTACAACCCACCCCCACCCCCAGCCAGGACCTCCACTCCCGACCCAGTGATCCAGGGGGTCCTGGTTGGAGGTAGGGTCTGTTTCTTGGCCCCCATGACCCCCAAGCAAAACCCCCACACCCACGCCAGGACCCCCTGGATCACCAGGTCTGGTTCGAGGGTCCTGGCTGGGGGGTGGGGTCGGGCTGTGCTGTCTTCGGTGAGATCTCCTCTCGCCTGTGTCGACTGTACACGACGGAGCCCTTGTGTCACCACCCACCAAACCACCCCAACCCAACCCGAAGGTCTCGATTTGACCTCCATTTCCAGTTGGGGGGGGGTCGGGGAACCTCGAGAAAACACATATGGAACCCGTACCCCCCCCAACCCGAAATTCGGGTCTTCGGGTTGGGTTGGGGTGGTCTGGTAGGTAGTCCTTGTGGCTTCTGCGACCCAGGGCGCCTCCCGCCCGCCGCGCCCCGCCGGCAACTGCGGTGCGGCGCGCGGCCCCCAGAATTCCCCCCGAGGCAGCCGCACACGCCCCACGTCGAACATCTGCTAGACAATGGCTACCCCTCCTCCATCCTCCTCCTCCTCCTCCTCCTCCTCCTCCTCCTCCTCCTCCTCCTCCTCCTCCTCCTCCTCCTCCTCCTCCTCCTCCTCCCCCTCCCGCTCCCCTCCCCCCCGATTCCCACTGCCACTAATTCGCCGTCGAATGCCAGTTTATGAAGTTGCCCCCCCCCTGGAAAGGCTCCCACGGCAACCGAAGGATGCGATTGGCAGATGCACATTCGTCTGCTTGTATACGCTGTACACACGCGTGCACGCGCATGCATGGGTATTGTGCCTGAGTTGTTTGCGTGCAGGTGTGCTGGCTACGTCGGTCGACAGGTAAGTAGTTATCGTCTTACTGCGAAAGTGTGCATGCGTTCGCGCGCGACTGTGCGTGCGTGCGCGCGGTGGCGTCCAGTTCTCGCGTTCGGTAATTTTTTGGTGCCTGATGGGCCCAGCGCCGCCATGCGCGCCTTCTGCGCGCGGCGTGCGCGCGCGCTCTTCCAGACCGGGTCACGCGTTTGGCTTCTGCGTCCAATGCGGCCAACTCCGCAGGGTCGCCGCGGGCACGGCGGTCTACGCATGAAGTGGTCCGCGAGCGCGTCTTCGATCCTTTTCAGGTCGCAGCGCGTATGAGCTGTAGCATTTTCGTGGCCCAGGGAGGTTGCGCAGGGGGTGCAGTCTCTATCTACGCCAAGGTCGCAGCCTCTATGTACGCCAGGGCTCAGAGAGGGAACGCAGTCTCTATCTACGCCGGGGTCGCAGGGCGTGGCAGGCGTGGCCTGACGCCAAGGGGGGTGCGCAGGAATTTGCCCCTGAACACGGAGCGCTTGGGTGGTCGCGGGGGCGTCCCCGGCAGTCTGGTTTGTCCCGTCATCGTCTTGTTTTCTATATGCGCATTACAAAACGGCGATCCTGATTCCTAGTTGTCCTCCCAGATTTCTTCCCACAGCGATCCTGTGGTGTTGGGTCCTAGTTTTGAAGGAACATCGCTGCGTGTCACTCTTTTTCCTCCTTGCCCCTCCTCCCCACCCGCTGCCCCCCTCTTCATCTCACCATCAGCATCGCCATCGTCATCATGGCCACCATCACCACCATCGTCGTCGCCATCGTCGCCGTCATCATCACCATCATCGCCATCAGCCCCGGCACACCCGCAGGGAGCTCCACTTCCGGTCCCAGTGGCGCAGCCCGTATGTGGGCGACACCCCCGCTTCGGCACACCCCTCACACGCGCCGTGGCCCCACAGGGAGCTCCACCGACACTTCCAGTGGCCCAGCCCGCATGTGGGCGACACCCCCAGTTTCGACACAACGCTCGCACGTTTCGTGGCCCAACAGGGAGCTCCACCTTAGGCCCCATTGGAGGAACCCGTATGCGGGCGGCACGCCCGTTTCGGGGCCCTTCACGCGTTGCGTGGCCCCAGCGAGGGAGCCCGCATGCGGGCGACACCCCCGTTTCGGCACATCCAGGACCCAGTGGCGTAGTCCGCATGTGGGTGACACCTCCGTTTCGGCACACCCCTCACGCGTTTCGTGGCCCCAGGAGGAACTCGACCTGAATCCACAGTGGCGCAGCCGCATGTGGGCGACGCCCTCGTTTCGGCACACCTTTCACACGTTTTGTGCACCCCCCACGGAACTCCACCTGAAGCCCCAGTGGAGGAGCCCTTATGCGGGCGACACCCCCGCGTCGGCACACCACTGACGCGCGTAGACCCCAGTGGCGCAGCCCGCATGTGGGCGACGCCCTCGGTTCGGTACACCCCTCACGCGTTTCGTGGCCACACACGGAGCTCCACCTACGATCCCGATGACGCAGCCCGCGCGTGGGCGACACCCCCGTTTCGGCACACCCGTGTGGCCCGCAGGGAGCTCCCCCTCCGGTCCCAATGGCGCAGCCCGCACGTGGGCGACACCCCTGTGTCCGCACACCCCTCACACGTTGCGTGGCTCCACAGGGAGCTCCACCGAAGGACCCAGCGACACAGCCCATATGAGGGCGTCGCCCGATATGGAGTCCCACCTCCGACGGTACTCACATTTTCGGTATTCACTTCATATGTTTGGGTTCTTCGACGAGCGAATTTGAATCAGCTGTTTTTCCATATTCGATTTCGCCGAGTTGTGGCCCGAAAGTGGGAGGGTCCACCGAAAATCGCACCCACCACGGATTATTCCCAACTGCATATGGCCAGGTCCTTCGCCAGGATAGTGGTATAAGGGGTATTTTCAGAAAAGGGTTAGTTGTATGCGTTTCCTGATTCGGGATTCTCAAATACGGGATCCTGAGCCAGGATCATGTATCCAGGGATCCTTCGACAAAATATGCAGTACGAAAGGTTCCTCTGGAAGGAGTATGTTCTAAGGGCTCTGCTGTAAGGAATTATTGCGTTCAGCGATTTGATTCAGGATTTGTCTTATGAAGGGTTCCTTCGTAAGGATTCCCCACTAAGGGTTCCTCAGTAAGGATTTGTTTCCGAGTTCTGTGCAATGCTCATTTCTAGGGCCCTTGATTGAATAACATCGGCCACCAAGGAGGACGAGGAGGAGGAGGAGGAGGAGGAGGAGGAGGAGAACCACTTCGAGCTCGGAAGGGGCTCTGCTCTGCGGGCCTGGAGCCATTCGTGGCCGCCGCTCTCCACGGCCAGGAAGGCCTCCTCGTTCCCTACTCGGCGTTCCTTGTCTGGGAGCACGGCGGATGTGCTCACGTCTGCAGCCTGAGCAGGTCCGGCCCCATGAGGAGAGGGCCGCGGTCGGCGATGGTGGCTGGCGGCGTGCGCGCTTCCTGCTGCCCAGGGGGCAATCTGCCGCCACCGCCCTGATCCGAACGAGTCCCGCCGAGACCGGCCCTGCGGGCCAGCGGCGCTGGGACCTGGGACGCCCGTGTCGGGCGCCCGCGGCGGTCACTCCTGCTCTGCCCCCAGCCAGCAGCGGCCCTGCGCAAGGCCAACATGATGTCCCTGGTGGGGCACCTGAAGACGGACTGCGCGGACCCCAAGATCTACAGCCAGAGGGAGGTGGACGAGATGCACGAGCAGTGGGAGCGGGACGAGGTGGCTCCGCTGCTCAAGGACCGGGAGAGGGAACACGGACGCCGCCACCGCGCCTCCGGCAGGGTCCAGGCTGGGCCCTTGTGCCAGCCACCCGGCCAGGCTAGGCGGCCACGGCGTGGGCCCAACGGTTCGGTACGGTCGAGATGCATCCAGATGGAACTGGGACGAAGGCTGGCAGCAGTCCCTGCCCACTTTGAACAGGACTCGCTGCGGGTGTTGCCGCGGACGTTGTGCATCCGAGACAGGCAATCGCCTGCCCAACAGCTGCCGCTGTCGATTTCTGACGTCGTTTCCTGCTCGGCATCGTGCATTGTTTTTTTCCGTACTGAGTTCTGGCGTGCCGGAGGCTGGTTTGGTTTACATTCGCACGCAATCCGCCCGCGTAAGGCTGCGTGCAGGAGCTCTCGTTCACCACAGGGCGTGATGCGTGAACTACCGCGCAAGGCCCTCGTGCCACCGCGGGTAGGACTCCTTCCCGACTTGTGAGGTCTCGCGGCGGTAGACGCAGCCCCCTCTCCTTAGAGGCTCGTCCCTCACTGTAGCTCTCCTTTCCCTCTCCCTCTCCTCATCTGCCGCATCCTCCTCCCCGTCCTCGTGGCTGGCGCCCTCCCCTCTCCTCGAAGAGGACATCAAGGAGCTCCAAGAGGAGCTGAACGAGAGGCGGTTGGTCCAGAAGCTCAGGACCCAGCGCACCATGCTCACAGCCCCGAGCAAGGAGCCCGAGGCTGGGTACCTCGACCGGGCGAGCGTGCAGGATATCGGGGAGGGTCTCAACTGGGTAGAGGGTTTCTCCGAAGGGCTTGGGCGACCCGTCCTCCTTCTTCCTCCTCCTCTCTCCTCCTCCTCCTCCTCCTCCTCCTCCTCTTCCTCCTCCTCCTCCCTCCTCCTCCTCCTCCCTCCTCCTCCCCTCCTCCTCCTCCTCCTCCTCCTCCTCCTCCTCCCTCCTCCTCCTCCTGCTCCCTCCTCCTCCTCCTCCTCCTCCTCCCTCCTCCTCCTCCTCCCTCCTCCTCCTCCTCCCCCTCCTCCTCCTACCCCCTCCCCTCCTCCTCCTCCTCCCCCTCCTCCTCCTCCTCCGCCTCCTCCCCGCCTCCTCCTCCTCCTCCGTCCTCCTCCTCCTCCTCCTCCTCCTCCTCTTCCTCCTCCTCCTCCGTCTCCTCCTCCCCCTTCCTCCTCCTCCTCCCCCTCCTCCTCCTCCTCCTTCTCCTCGCCCTCCCCTCGTCGGGTCCTCTACGGCCCTGGGGGAAACCGTCCACAACTGGGCGCCGTGCCCGGCAACACCTGTCAGGATGAAACGTTGGTGACGCTTCGCGTATCCGACCAGCCAATCCAGAGACAATCGAAGACTTTCTTGAGACCTCTCGGAGGCTATCTTGAGCTATACTCGCCTGGAGGCTGTCGGAGGCTGTCTTGATACATGGTCAGCTATCTTGGGCCATGTTGGGGCTGTTTTGAGGCCTCCTGGAGATCCGTCGAAGGCTATCTTGAGCCATGCTCGACCTCCCAGGACAACCTTCATGGTAGGAGGAGGAAGAGACGGGGGAGGAGGAGGACACAGAGAGGAAGATGAGGAGGGGGAAAAAGAGGAGGAGGAGGAGGAATAATGCGGCAAGATGAAGATGATGAAGATGATGAAGATGATGATGATGGTGATGATGATGATGATGATGCTGATGATGATGATGCTGCTGATGATGATGATGATGATGATGCTGATGATGATGATGATGATGGTGATGGTGATGGTGATGGTGATGGTGATGGTGATGGTGATGGTGATGGTGATGGTGATGGTGATGGTGATGGTGATGGTGATGGTGATGGTGATGATGTGATGATGGTGATGGTGATGATGATGATGATGAGGAGGAGGAGGAGGAGGAGGCAGGAGGCAGGAAAGGGGGAGGAGGAGGAGGAGGAGGAGGAGGAGGAGGAGGAGGAGGAGGAGGAGGAGGAGGGAGGAGGCACGGAAGGAGGAGGGAAGGAACGGACCAGGACAAGGAGTATGAGAAATCAGGCTTTAGATATATGGTGTGGTCAGAAGGTTTTGAAAGATGGTTAAGGCCATCTTAGGTGATCTCTTGGGGTTCCCGTGGGACCTCTGGGGGCACTCTTAGGGCCCCCTGGGCATCGTTTTGGACGGGTCTGGGAGGCCTCTTGGGCTTCATGACTCAAAAAGGGGGGATAACCAATTCTAGCAGCTTCGCGTATTCCCATCAGCCCACGCTGGCAGTTCCCCTCAGTCTCAGTCCCTTCAGCCACCCACCTGAGGCCTCGGCCGCCGCGTAGCTGTTGCCTCGCGCGTTGCCTCTGCTTTAATTGTCTCGCGTTCCCTGTGCCTCATTAGTCTCTGCGTAGCCCGCTTTGACCTGACTCGCCGCCGGCGCGCTCGCCCGCGGCCGCTGACTTAAAAAAGTACTCCCATTAGTTCATCCAGAAATGATGTCCAGGCGAGTTGAGGTGATCAGGGAAGTGCGGGAGCAAAGAGGTGGACGGCCGAACTGTGCGAAGGAGGGTGGAGGAGAAGGAAGAGGTTGAATGGATGGATGAGGGAGTGGGGAGAAGGAGGATGAATAGGATGAGGAGTTGGAGGAGGAGGAGGAGGAGGAGGAGGAGAAGGAGGAGGAGGAAGAAGAGAAGGATTAGGAGGAGGAGGAGGAGGAATGAGGAGCAGCAGGAGGAGGGCAAGCAAAAGGGCAAGAGGTCTCTTGGATGTCTCTCGGAGCCTCCTGGGATGTCTCTTGGGCGCTTCTTGGTGGCCTCTTGAGACGTCTGGGGGGTCTCTTGGCGGTCGGGGAGGCTCTTGGGCGTCTTCGGTGCCCTGGGGGGGGCCTCTTGGGGCCGCTTGGGGTCCTCTTGGGGGCCTCCTGGGGGCCTCTTGGGGGCCTCTTGGGGGCCATTTTGGGGCTATATTGGGGCCTCTTGGGGCCTCCTGGGCTTCTCTTGGGGCCATCTTGCAGGAGATCGATAAAAAGAGAGGGGAGCTTCGATTAGCGCCCCCCCACCCAGAAGGCCAAAATGGGGCCAAAACCATAGTAAAACTATCATTTTGGCTTCTGCGCCGAGGCCGTTTTGGACGCCCTGACCGCTCGGGACCGGCCCCGTCCAGGTCCAGGAGAGGAGGTAGGGGGAAGGGTAAGCCCCTCCCCGAAGGTGAGAAAGAGGAGCCGCCCTAGACCACCTACGCCCAGAGGGCTGGTGGGATTCAGGCGCCCCCTTCGGAGGCTCAACGATGGCGTCTTGCGGGCCTTCTTGGGCCGCTCTTGGAACGTGTTTGGGCGCTCTTGGGGCCCTCTTGGGCCATCTTGGGGCCCTCATTCTAACTACCCGCCCCCCCCCTTCCCAGGCCCAGGGGACGGCGTAGAGGGAGGGGTAAGCCCCTCCCCCGAGCAGGGCAAGGAGGGGGAGAGGAGACATTACACCAGAGAAGAACCCCAATCAGTGGATGGTTTAAAATGGGATCGATAAAGAGATCGATAAGGAGATCGACCGGGAACCCGGGAACCCGGGAACCCAGAACCCACCGAAATCGGCGGGAATTGTTTGCCAAATCTTTCAATTTCCGCTAGGACTCCTTCAGTGCAAACACTGATTGGGCAATTATTTCCGCTAGGACCCCGTCAATGCAAGCACTCATTGGGGACAAATTCTTTGAACCCCCTAGTGGCCCCCCTCCTTCTCCTGGCGATGTGGCCCCCCTCCTCCTCCTCCTCCTCCTCCTCCTCCGCCTCCTCCTCCTCATCCTCCTTTTTGCCCAGGCCGCCGAGCGCGCTCGCTCGCAGCGTAAGTCTCCTCCCCCCCTCCTTCTCCTCCTCCCCCTCCCCCTCCTTTCCCTTTCCCTCCTCCTCCTCCTCCTCCTCCTCCTCCTCCTCCTCGGGATTCTTTGCGGCCAGAGGCGCTTGCTCGGCGTGTGCCGCTCCGCCGGCTCTGGCCCGCCACGCTTCGGCCGACACGCTGATCCACGCTGCGAGCCTTCGCAGCGTCCCGCCCCACGGGTCGGAGCGACACGCTGTCATCGGGCGATCGCCCCAGACATGACCGCGTCGTAAGAAAAATCAGGACGAAGGTCTTTCGTCATTGTCGGCCTTTGGGGGCCCTCGCTGGGCCCCGGGACCGTCGAAACACGCCTCTGGATGAAAAACCGGCCCCAGGGAACGTTTTCGGGACTCCCGTGGGCGCCGTCCTGAAAAAATCAGGGCGTCACATGTCTGGGGCGAGCACGATCAAGGGAGCGTGGATTAGCGAGGGGTTCCACTTCCGTGGGAGATCGCGGATTTCCGCCGCCGAGCAGGGCGGCACCGGCCGCATTCTGAGGAGGACACACCTCCCCCGATGCATGGATCTTGCGACCGCGTGCCAAATCCATGGATCGCTAATCCATGTTTGCGCGCCGCCGACTTCAGCGTGCAAGGCATGGGATGTCGCGAGTGGCGCCGCCGCGACACTTACGCAAAAGCTCCAGACCGTTAGAGCTCCGCCACCATTTGCGAACTCTACCCCTGCAGGTCCAGTCGAGGCTGGTGTATCGGACACCCCAGCTGGGGTTCGCCCGGCTGCGGTCATCATCTGGATTGTGAGCCTCAGCCGTCGCTGCAGAAATCCGGCGCGCAAGGGCAGGATTCGCACGTGGTTGCCGAAGAATGACATCCCTGCTCTTCGGACACGACCTTTCTCCTCACGCGGCGTGACGTGGGCCCCCACACTTGTCGACCCCCCCGAAGAGACCGGCTTTCATCTCCAGGTAGATGCTTCATGGCGTCGGAGCCCCAGAGCGGGGCGAACGGATGCGCCTTGATATGTTGAAGACTTCGGGGGTCTGGGAGTGACGCGATCCGACTCTTGGAAAATTGCCTTTCTCTTCGCGCCCTGTGTTCTACGACAAGCCCTCACATCAGTCAAACATGATAAAGCCTTACCTGACCTGATACGCCCGCTTAGAAACGCAACACATGCCAGATTCAAGACGTCCGTGTTAACACGCTGCGTGTTGGCTCAGCATGCTGGCCCTCGTCTCGGCGAACGCATCGCGACAGGCCTATATGTTCAGTCCACATGTTGAGCTCCGTGTCAGCACGCTGCGTGCTGCGTGCTGCGTATTGGGGGGGGCTACTGACACCGCAGACGCATGCTGGATGCCTCCGCGGAACATACCCTGCCAGCCCGGCAGGCCCCTGCCCCCGCCCCCGCGCCCTGCGCCTGCCCCCGCCAGGTCCTGGAGAAGTGCCTCGCCGGCCTGGCGGAGCGCCTGACGAGCAAGTTGCTCAGGTCCTCCCCATCATCCTCCCCCCTCCTCCTCCTTATCTCGTCCTCCTCCTCCTCCTCCTCCCTCCTCCTCCTCAGCCCTCCGCGTCTCCCCGACTCTCCTTCGCCGTCTTTCTTCCCCCGCTCCTTCTTTGCCTTTTCCCTTTTCCTCTTCCCTCCCCTCTCCTCCCTATGCATCCGCGGCTGACTGCCTCCCCTGCGCCTTCTTTCCCCCCCCCCGCTCCTTCTTCGACTGCTCCCTTCTCCTCCCTTCTCCACCTCCTCCTCCTCCTCCTCCTCCTCCTCCTCCTCCTCCTCCTCCTCCTCCTCCTCCTCCTCCCCTCTCCTCCTTACCCCTCCGCGTTTCCCTGCCTCTCCTTCACATTCCTTCCTCCCCCGCTCCTTCTTCGCCTGCTCCCTGCTCCTCCTCCCTTCCCCTCTCCTCTGCCTCCTCAGCTCCTCCCCTATGCCTTCCCAGTGGCTTGGCCGGGGCGGAGACCACGCCACGACCCGACGCCCTGATGCGATGCCCCCCCCCCCCTGGGCATTCGGGCACGGCGAAGCTTCGCGAGGCGGACCCCCTCTCGGGCGGGCGGTAATGGGGGGGGGACCTCAACAATAAGGGGTAAAGAAGAGGGATCAAAAGGGGCACCTCAGGGCCCCTTTGGAACCAGCAGGGGCCCAACAGGGGCCCCGAAGTGCCCCTTTAAGGCCACCCGCCATTACCCCCCATTGCCACCCGTCATTTAGGTCACCTCCCATTGCCACCCGCCATTAAGGCCACCCGCCATTACCCCCATTCTCCACCCCTCATTTAGGTCACCCCCCATTGCCACCCGCCCGACCCCCGCCATCCCGGCGGACCCGCGCACCATCTGGTCCAACGAACAGTGGTCTATCGAGGGCGTCCAGGAGGGGCGTGGTGACTAGGGGGGTGTGGATATCATGGCGGGGGCCATGAGATCTCCCCAGACTTCATGGCGCCTCTTCTTATCTCAATATGTCACCGGCCCCCCTCCCTGGGCCGCGCACGTGCCGCCAGCCATGATGTGCGCCGCCCCCTCGTGGACGTCCCCCTCCCCGAGGTCGCCGCCCCGTCTTGGACGCCCTCCTCTTGGACGCCCCCCCTCCTGGACGCCCCCGAGGTCCTCCGTCCCCGTCTCACACCTCCCCTCCGTCCCTTCCTCCCCGCTCCCCGCTTCCCCTCCCGAGGTCCCTCCGTCCCCTAGGGCGAAAATTGTCAGCATGTCGCTGATGCCTGTAAGGTTGCTGCTCCGATCCCAGGATGGTGCCTGAAAGGTTTAAGTCGGGCGTGTCCCTCTACAGGAGGAGTATGCAAAAATAGCTTAAAAAGTCTTATGGGGACGATTCTTCGAGCATGTTTGACTGTTGTTGAGATCTGGGGAGTGCTCTATTTTTCGTACAAGATCCGCCTGTAGGAGGACGTGCCCGACCGAATGAAAGGTGCCTGAATGGTCAGCCTGTCGCGGCTCCCAGGAGGCCACGGTGTGTCCTCGTTTTCGCCTCGTTTTTCGCAGGGGCCTCGTTTTTCGCAGGGCCTCGTTTTTCGCAGGGGCCTCGTTTTTCGCCTCGTTTTTCCCAGGAGGCCACGGTGTGTCCTCGTTTCGTCCCAGTGTTGGCCTCGTTTTTCGCAGGGGCGTCACAGGGAACCTGAGCAGCGAGAGGGACGCTGCAGGGATTGCCCGCCTCCGGCTGCGGCCCGCCCGGGCCGGCCCAGCGCCGCGCCCTGCGACCGGCGCCCGAGCTTCCCCGTCCTCGTCCTCCCCCCCCGCCCTCCTCGTGCTCACCCCTCCTCTTCGTCTACCCTCTCCATTACCCCACCCGATCCCCCTCCTCACGTAATTGTCCCACGCATGCTCCTCCCCGCGTTCGTCCTCCTGTTGGCTTTTCTTCGTATCATCAGCAGCATCATCATCAGCTGAATCATCATCATCATCATCATCATCATCATCATCATCATCATCATCATCATCATCCTCATCATCATCATCATCATCATCAGCATCATCATCATCAGCAGCAGCATCATCATCACCACCATCAACATCAGCATCCTCATCATCATCATCATCATCATCAGCATCATCATCTTCATCCTCATTATCCTCATCCTCATCATCATCACTATCATCATCAGCATCATCATCATCATCATCATCAGCAGCAGCATCATCATCCCTCTTTGTCCCCATGGTTTTCCCCGTGACTGTGCTCCGTCGCCGACCCGTCCGCCTTGCACCTCCTCCTCCCCCTCTGTCAGTCCCCCATTTACTTTCTCCCCGTCCTCCTCCAGTTCGTCTTTACCTCCTTCTCCTCCTGCTTCAACGTCCCCGCTCCCCTTCTGTATGCCCATTCCGTTATCCTTTCCTTCCTTGCCTTCATGCTTCTTCTTCCTCTCCCTCCTGCTGCAATCCTCCTCTCCCTCACATTTCTTCTCTTCGCCCTCCCCTTTGTCTCCTGCTGTGTCGTCATCCTCCTGCTTCTCAGACATTTCGTCCCACCTCTCTCGCTTCCCCAGCTCATCACTTATCTTGCTCATGCGCCCCCCTTGCGCTCCTCCTCTAATACAATTTCCGGACATTTCGGCTCCTGCTCTTCATCTTGATCTTTTGTCTGCCCCTCTGTAGTTACCTCTTACCCTTCTTGTTCATTCGCATTGTTTTCCAATTGCAAGCATTGTAAGGTTAGCCAGTGTAGACCCGAAACAGTGACTTATCCGTCAGGGATTCGCCCTCTGCCGCCAGCCCCCTCTCTATCATAATGTGACATGCTAGCGCTATGTTGGGATGCCTGGGCGCTGACTTGAAGCATTATGGGAACCTCATGCGAGGGCGGTTGGTAATCGTGGCGTCATTCACAAGTGATCGTGGCCTCGGGAGCGCGAACCTGGCGCAATGTACGAGGGATCATCGCCTGGGGTCCGCGAATATGGTGTAACTTGCCAGGATTCTGGTTTTGGGGGCGAGCTCGGTGCTTTTTGTATGGTATTCTGGTCCCGGGAGCACGACTCTGGCGTAATTTAGAAGGGGTCATTGCACCAGGATCGCGAACCTAGTGTACCCTACCAGGGGATATTGCTCTCGAAGCGCGAACCCTTTGTAATTCACAAGGGCTTCTCGCGTCGGGATCGAGAACTTGTCGCAATTTACTAAGGACTCCGACCGCTGGATCGGAAATATGATGTAATCCACTCCGGATTCTGGCCTCGATAGTGCGAACGTGGCGCAATTTGCAAAGGGTATTGGTTTGGGGAACATGAACCTTAAGTAATTGTTCGAAGGGTCATTGCCTCGGAGCTCGACTCTCACGTAGTTCTTCATGTCCCAGAACTGCCCAGAAATTTAGAGCACGCGATTCGGACGTGGTGGCCAGGGTGGTTTTCGGCTCCCCCCCTCGCGCGGACAGGAACACTTCACAGAAGGAAGCAGAAATTACAACTATAACTTTGGACACTGAAAAACTGGTACTGGCGCAGAAAGCATGACAGCTCCGCCACGCAGCCTGATGGCCCCAGTTTAAGCTACGTTAGGTAAACCGTGAGGTGTGGGCGTATTGCGTCGGGCATGTGCTGTGACCTGTCTGGTGTAAACTGTGCTGTGCTGGCTATGCGGTGTGAGCTACATGCTGTGAGCCACGGTGTGGACGCGGTGCTGTGCAAGCTGTGGGGTGCAAGCTGCGCTGTGTGAGCTCTGGTGCCCACCCCGGGCACGGGGTGCCCACGAGGCGGCGCGGGGGCGAACCCGGCGAGCCCGGGCGAGAACGTGGCGAGACCTCGGCGGACCCACCCGGGGCACGGGGCGCCCACGAGCGCTCACGATCGAAGAAGAACAAAAGCACACAAACATGAGCTTGTGGCGCTCCGCGTGGATTTCTTGGATCCGCGCTGGGCCCCCCCCGCGGCGCCTCCGGCGCCGCCGCAGCACAGGGGCGCGGAGCCAACCAGAGCACGGGGCACCAATGAGCGCCCACCAGGTGACACGGGCGCAAACTTGGAAAATCCTCGGCAGTCCCTCCCAATCACTTAGCAAGACTACCATGTCTTAGGCCTCATTGTGTCGTACTTCGACGCGTGATTCCCCTGATTCTGCTGCCCCTGCTTCTACTGCCCCCTTGTTATACTCCTTCCCCTGCTTCTACTGTCTTCGACTCGTGATTCCCCGGCCCCCCCGCCCTCTTCCCTCCTTTGACTTTCCTTCATGACCATCCCATGCATTCCCCGCCTGCTAGACAACGACAACGATGTCGACGAGGACGCCGACGACAATCGTCGTCATTGCCTGCGTCATGTTCGACGTCGTTCTCATTGTCCTCGTCGTCTTCGTCTTTCTCGTCGTATCCCTCGCTGACGTCCTTCAGGGACAAGCTGACCGACGTGGCCAGCGCCTGCTCAGACGGTGGATCTAGCGACAAGCTGCTGGAGCTGCTGGAATCCATCAAGCCCGCGCCGCAGCAGCCTGCGCGCCCGCGACGACGACGACGACGACGGCCACGCCCGCGGCGTATGTTTGGCAAGGTTTCTCCCCAACCCGTGCTTGCACTGGCAAAGATGAGAAGGATGTGTCGAAAGGGCCCTGCCAATTTGGGTGCTAGGCCGGGTTGCCGGGTTCCAGTTTTGGGTTCCTGGTTTCCTGGCGGCGGCCAGGTTTTGGGAATTACGAACTATAAGACACTCGCAAGGGTGAGGGTTAGAAAGTGGAGAGTAGAGAGTACGTATAGCGCATAGGGTTTGTTTTAGCCGGCCGATTTGCGGTTGATCGGGAGATGAAGAGTTACCAATGTTGCGAGGATGTGCCGAGCGAGGGCGCCGGTGTAGGATTCTGTCCCAGATTCTGTCAGATTCGCCAGAAACGGGGAGGAAGATGAGGAGGAGGAGGAGGATGAGGAGGAGGAGGAGCAGATGGCAGGAAGCATCTTTTGCCTTTCCCCTGGGCCGATGTAGCGAGGATGGCTCGAGCGAGGGCGCCGGTTGTGGATGCTGCGCCGGAGTCCGTCAGAGTCGCCGGAGCCGCCGGACAAGGTGCAGGAAGCGTCTTTTGGGGGCAACGATGGGGGGATAGGCCTGGGGGAGGACGCATCGTCCCCCAATCGCACATTGATCGCCGATAGGGGCCCGATAGCCCCACCCCGCCCACGAAGGTGCACTATCGGGGGCCTATCGCCGATCTATCGACGATGTATCGCCGATTCCAGGTCGATGCATCCCCCCGTGTGCCTATATGCCTTCCCTATTGTTGCACCCCACTCTTGGCCCCTCCGCTTGGGCCGATTTTGTGAGGATGTCCCGTGAGGGCGCCAGCGTGAGGTTCTGCGCTAGATTACGTCAGATTTGCCGGATTTGTCAGAAACTGTACAGGAAGCGCGTTGGTTTCATTTCGTCTCGCGCCGGGGTCTATGATGACATGTCGCAGAGAAATTCCTTACAATTGGAAGGTACACTAAGGAGTATATAGACGATAGCTGATAATATGTGTTACGTACGGTATTGAGAGAAGAGGGTGGGGCATCGAGATCAGAAGTATATGGGGTAAGGGTACTCAGTAGGAAGTAGGGAGTAGAGAGTACCTCATGCGTCATCCTTGGCTTATGCGCACTTTACGTTGTCTTTCTCTATTTGGTTTGGGCCGCTGCTGGGAGTCCCGCTGCTAACTCCGCATGTTCGGCAGCGGGGGGCCATCTTGAGGCCCCTTTGGCCTTCGACAGCCAATCTGGGCGGCAAGACGGCCAGGATGGTCGGGCATGTTCCCCTACAGGCGGATCTTGGACGAACAGTAAAAATAATCAAAACACATTCAGCAACAGTCAAATAATAGTCGAAACATCGTCCCCATATTATCTTTCGACTCTATTTCCCCACCTAGGCTCTGCCTAGAAAGGTTCTTACTCTGTGGGCTTAAAGGGCCGGGCAGTGTAAACCGCCCCAGGCGGTTCCCCCAGATTCCGCCCCGCGGTTCCCCCAGTTACGCCCCCTTAGCTTAGCGTTGTGTATATCATCTTTGCTTAGCCTAGCTTAACTTAGCTTAGCTTAGCTTAGCCGAGCTTAGCTTAGCTTAGCCTAGCCTAGCTTAGCTTAATTCTAGACGCTTCGCGTATCCCCACCAGCCCGTCCAGAAACGACGCCCAGGCGAGTAGAGGGTCGTCCTGAGGGGCTTTTCGGCGTCTTGGGTGCCTCGGGGGGGCCTCTGTGGGCCGTTCGGGATCCTCTTTGGGGCCTCCTGGGGGCCTCTTGGGGCCTCTTGGGGCCATCTTGGGGCCTTTGGGGGCCTCCTGGGCGCTTCTTGGGGCCTCCTGGGCGCTTCTTGGGTGCCTCTGGGGGGTCTCTTGGGGCCTCTTGGGGGTCTCTTGGGGGCCTCCTGGGGGCCTCTTGGGGGGCCTCGGAGCCATCTTGGAGGAGATCGATCAACGAAGGGGGGTTCCCAATTACAGCCCCCCCCTCAGGAGCCACGATCCTCGTGAGGGGTGTCGAATTTTAGCCCTCCCAGGGGTCGATCTTGGGCGCTCCAACGCGCCGCGGAAACCCCTGTCCAGGTCAGTGGGGAGGGGGTAGGGGGAGGGGTAAACCCCTCCCCGAAGGGGAAGAAGGAGGGGTGGAAGAGGAAACGCTCTAAACCGCCGACGCCCAGAGGGCTGGTGGGACTTAGCTTAGCTTAGCTTGGCTTAGCTGAGCTTAGCTTAGCTTAGCATAGCCTAGCTTCGCTTAGCGTAGCCTAGCTTAGCATAGTTTAGCTTACCTCAGCTTAGCAAAGCGCAGCGCAGCATAGCGCAGCGCAGCATTAGCACAGCAAAGCATAGCATAGCCAAGCATAGCATAGCATAGCATAGCATGGCATGGCATAGCATAGTTCAGCATATCATAGCATAGCATAGCATAGCATAGCATAGCATAGCATAGCGCATCATATCATAGCATAGCATCGCGCATCATAGTATTGCTTAGCATAGCACAGCGTGGCATATCATAGCGTATCACATCATAACATAACATATCATATCATATCATAGCGCATCATAGTATACCATATCATATCATAGTGCAGCCTACCATATCATACCATAGCCTAGCATAGCATAGCATAGCATAGCATAGCATAGCATAGCATATCGCACACTAACATAGCATAACATAGCATAGCGCAGATGTTGGTGTAGATGTAGGTGTAGATGTAGATGTAGCTGTAGATGTAGGTGCATATGTAGGTGGAGCTGTAGATGTAGATGTGATCCTCGCTGTTGATGTTGATGTAGATGTAGATGCAGGTGTAGATGTTTATGTAGCTGTCGGTGTAGATGTAGATGTTGCTTTCCTAGATGCTCCAACTCCTAGGTAGGGTCGCACTGGGATAATTGAATATTCCTCCTGTGCCGCGGACCTCGGTCGGGAGCTGCAGGGGGCAGGGCGACTTGGCAGCACGCGCGGGAGCGCTCCCTCTCGTGAGCCCGTGCGCCCCACGCCGTGCAGGATGTGGGTCGAGGGAAGAAGTGCGAGGACCATGGACAAGATTAGGGAGCCATAGGCGAACCCCACCCCTACCCCCCACGATTTCTGAGGGAGGGCGTGGGGTTCACTTCGTTGGGGGTAGGGGTAGGGTTCGCATGTGGCCCCCTACAAGTTGTCGCGGGATCTTGTCGACGCCGATCCTGGTCATGCTGCATACCGGCCATCGACGATACGCGAGGACGACCCACGACTTCACAATGGCCACCCGCGAGGACGATCCACGAACTGACGTAATGTTGCGTATTCGGGGGGCCTCGCCTGTCCCGAAGATTCGTGTCTTTCGTGTGCCCGACGCGGGCTTGATGTGGACGCGACGCGGATTTGGCGTGCATTCGACGCGGATCCGACACGGACTCGACACGGATCCGACGAGGTCGACAAGAATTCGGTTCGGATTCGACGCGGATAGGGTCGGGACGGGGCAGACAAGGTCCCTTAAATGTACAACAGAAGGAAGTGAGAAGGAGAATGCCGTCTCAGAAGGTGGCGGGGCTTCTCGGAGGCCCTCGCGCTTTCTGAGAAGTCTTCTGCGTCCTCGGGGAAGGCTCAGGACACTTGTCACAAGGCTTGGGGAATTCCGAGCCTTCTGAGAATGCCCGCCCCGGGCTCGTCGCCGATTCTTGGCAGGTTCGTGCCATCTCGGCGCGGTCCGTGGGCGGGCCTCTGGGCCGCGACCGCGTGGATACTGGGGGTTGTTTCACAGATGCCCCTCGCGGGATGTTTCCATGCGACTGCGTATCCATGGGATCGCGCCCCGGAATCCTGACCAACAGGGCGTGGGTATGGATATGTTCGCCATTCGTGTGCGGTGGCAGCGTTGGCGCGGACGTCCGAGATTGCAAGATCCTCAGCGGCAGCTGGGTGCCCTCGACAGGGCGATCCCAGTTGTGCGGTGGCTGCTACCAGGGCGAACGCCGTCATTGTTAGCAGGCCACATGCGAACCCTACCCCACCCCCCCACCCCACCCCACCCCTAAAAATCGTGAGGTGGTGGGATCGGGCTCGCATGTGGCCCCCTAATAGCACGATGCGGCTGTATACTTTCTTAGCTGACCTTTGCGGTCACCCTGGTCCTTCTGGAAGACAGGCTCTCGATCGTGTCACGCGGTCTGCCTGGCAAGCACCCGTGCAGCCTCCCGAGCATCTCCGTGCTACCCCCGGCTGCTCTTGGAGTTTGGGAGTGGGCGCCAGGGAGCTCCGTGCGTGCCCCTGGGAGCCCCTGACATTCTCGAAGCGCCCTTCCTCCTCCTTCCTCCTCCTCCTCCTCCTTCCTCCTCCCCCTCCTCCTCCTCCTCCTCCTCTTGCTCCTCCTCTTGCTCCTCCTCCTTCGCTCTGAAACCTCCTCCTTCTCCTCTGCTTCCCCCCTTACCATATTCCCTCACCGTCGGCGGCGTGGTGAGGACGCGGCGGGGTCGTCGGGCGAGGTACCCTGACAGGCTCCCCTCGAGAAGTCCCCATGAGGCGTGCAGCAGGCGCAATGGGGAGGGGTTGTCGGCTCGCGCACGGGAGCAGTGCCTAGGATGGGGGGCGTCTCAGAAGGTCGGAGGCAGCTCGGAGGAGAGGTCACCCGCGGAGGCGCGGGGATCATCGCGCGTCGCAAGTCGCGGTCTGGACTGGAGAGCTGCTCTTCTCTAGCAGGGGCGACGCGAGGTCGCGAGGGCGCGAAGTGTAGCGCGCATCGCGGGTCGCGATGCGCGCATCGCCCCCCCACCCAGGGGAGAGCGCACGAATGCACTGGGCTTCGAGTGCGGGTTGCCCTCTTCCGAAGGAGACCGCGCCACCCCCTTCCCCATATTCTCGACGTCGTGTGTTTTTTAGCGTGGCCCCCCCAAAGGTCCAAACCACCTTCCCCGAGACCCGCTCTCCATCCTGAGTCGGGACTCAAGAGACGGGGGTCAATGCAAACGGGGGCCAGGCAGAGCGCCGGATCTTAGAGGATCCTTCGGAGCCAGGGCTGCATTCGTCCGGGCTTGTGCGCAGGATCTTGCGGGACCCTACAGGATCTTGCAGGATCCTGCAGACCCTGACTGACCCGGGTCTAGATTGACCCGGGTCAGTAGATCCCCGACTGACTAGTTTTGTGATTCGAGGCCTTGCATGGGCCCCCAGGAGGCCAGAGATGGCAAACAACCGGCCGTCGTGTTCTTTTCACCGTTCGAGCCCACTTGCCCTCCAGCCCACTTGCCTGCGCGGGGCCAGGGCCAGCTCAAACGGTGCTCTGGCGAGGGCTCGCTGGCGGCTTCCCGGGCGTGTGCCCGAGGCTCCTGGAGCTGCAAGGGGCCCAGGCTTACTTTCTTTCTGCGATTCTGCGGGGAGGGATGTCGAGGATTCGGAGGATGGGTGGCCCTCGAAGCCACCGCTGGGTTGGCCTCGAAGTTCTGGTCAGAGCGCATCCCAGGGGAGGTCTGGGGAGCGGCGGTATCGGTACCCTCCGTCGTCCCCAAGCACCAGTGGCACGCCGCCGGTGGGCGCCTGTTTTGTCCGAGGGCGCCGTGCTTCTTCCGCAGTGACACGCTGATGGATTTCCCGGTGCGGCGTGCCGTGGGTACTGTTTTGGCTCTCCCACTCTGGCCCAAGAGTCAGGATGGCTCGAGCGATCGAGCGTTCGAGTGCCACTACGAGCGCCGTGACCTTCTGCACACTGGCCACTGGCCCCGCACGTCTTGGACTTTTTCGCGATGCCCTTCCTCTTGCGGTGCCCCCTTCGGCCCTCGCTTGCCGCGCTCTGGAGACGGAGGAGCAGACCAGCCCCGGGATCGATGGATTCGGGTTCTGCGAGAGCGAGTGCGCGGCTTCGAGTGGCCTGTAGGCACGTGGAGTTCGGGCACTGCACACCACTTCTTGGCAATGCGTTGAGCAGGTTCTGCCGTGAATCGATTGATTAATTCTCTTATGACTGGTTGGTTCGGATTCCATCCCACCATTTGGCTTCTGGAATGACTAAAGAAGTTGTCAAATGTACACCAAGGAATACCTCTAACATGTGTCTCCAGATTTGCTGCAAACGTGTAAAGCCTAAAGTCTGCGTGCTGTTGGTGGGCGGGGGTAAAGCGTAATGAACGTGTGCTCTCCAATCTCCACACTCTGCTCTCTACTGTGCTCCCTCCCACTCTGCGCTTGACTTCTACCCTCCACCTTCTGCCCTACGTTCTGGGCCCTCTGCCCTCGACGCCCTACTCTCGGCCCTCCAATCCCCACTCAATCCGCAGCCGTTTGTTTCGGCTCTGTCAGGGCTCGCGCCCCCCTCGGCCGTCGCCGGCGCTTGCCCCGCTCCCGCCGCCATCCAGGCGACCCCTGGCCCGCAGAGCAGGAGCGATGATCTACATCTTCCAGCTGCCGGGCATGCTGGTCAGCGCCCTCTGCAGCGCCGTCTCGGCCATCTGCGGTGGGGCCTGCAGGTGCTCGGGCGAGCTGTGCCGCTCGTTCCCCGAGGCGTTCGCCTGTCTGGCCGACGCCCTGAGAGGCTCGTGCGAGCTGGTCTGTGGCCTAGTCCAGTCATTCAACTGCTTCACGGGGACTCTGGGCTGTGGCGTCCTCTTGTCCTGCTTTGTCAACGGGGTCGTCATCTGGAACGCCTCGCTCTCCATGAGCTCCGCGACGGTTAAGGAATGCCCCGAGCCTGACACCAACTCCATCGCCTGGCTCGTCAAGGCAGATCTTGTGCTGGCCGTTTGCCACGTGGTCTTCTTCCTCTACTTGAAGTTCAAAGTGGCGACGAAGCAAGTCGAGTTGTTGCAAGAGGACCGTGAACATGGCAGGGTTGAGAGGAAGCCCAACGTTCTGTTGAGGGACAGCATTAAAAACCTCATCCAGTACGATATTGCCGTCTGCTTGTACTTCTTCCTGTGGGTGTACTCCTTCTACCTGAACACCAACGGCGCCGGCCTCGTCGCGAAGTGCGCAAACCACGCCAAGAGCTACGAGGGCTGGCCTGGCCAGATGGTCGGCTGGCTGATCGCGTACGCCCCCTTGACGGTCTTCTACGGGTGTGGCTTGTACGCGCAACTGACGGTCATGGGGGGACATCAGATGGCATGAAAAGATCGGCCCTGGGCCCGCCTCCTTGGCGCTCGGAGCGCGCCAGAGAGAGGGCTCCAGCGCCGATCCGAGAAGCCCGACCAGGCCTCCGGCAAGCTATTGCAGGCATGATTTCTATCCAATCCATACCCAGTGCGTCAGAGACTTTCTTGGAAGGGGCGCCATAAGGCCGAGGCGCACTGGATGTTTATCCATATCCAGTAGGCCTCGGGCTCCTGGCAGAGGGAGCCCGAAACTCCAAGCTGCGGTGGAAATGTACACAGGTCTTGCCCGCATTTACGCTACGTTAATGCGGGGATGGCGCGCCAGTGACGCCAGCGAAGGCGTTCAAGGTTGAACTCCGCATGAAAGAGCGACGCGGAAGCACTGAGGGGCACAATAACGCCACAGGACCCGACGGCATTCAACTTTGAACGATAGGGGCCGCGATCGGTTCAAGGTTGAACGATCGACGTGGCGTCAAAAACCTTTGCGCGCGCCGACGCCGCACGTATCTGCCGCATGCTTATGTCGTTATCTGTCCCCGAGGTCAACGCGGCCACGGAGAAGGTGGGCTGGGGTGCCCGAGGGCGCAACGCGCAGGCCCGAGAGGGCGTGGCGCCGTACCTGCCGCTGGCCGCGGGCGAGCCTCCCCAGGGTGCCCCCGCGCCGCAGGTCTGAGCGGCCCGCCCCATGTGCTTCCCGCGGCCTGCCAGCGGGCACCCACGGCTGCTGGGGACGGGCCTGCCATCGGGCCCCACCCCGCGCTGTGCACCGGCGATGCTCTGTGCACCGCCGCGGGAAGGGTGGTCCCAGAATCGGGTATAGACAGGACCCCAGGTAAGGGGACCCTGTTAGTAGGAGGGCCCCGGAGCCCCTAAAATGACCAGAATCACTAAACCAGGGTTGCCGAAGCCGTTTTTTTGGGGTGACGGCAGTTCCCGTTAGCGGAACGGGGCGGTGGGGCGACTCCCCCAGTACAAATCTTTAAACCAGGTCCCACTGAAGCCAGTTCTGCCAACGCCGGACACAAGCCGCTGGTGCTGACCAGCACTGCGTGGACCTGGCCGCGTCGAGGCAGGCCTTCCCGCGCGGCACGCGCCCCTAGAGTAAGAATCCGCTGCGTAAACTCACAACTCTCAGAGCTCCGCGCGGATTTCTTGGATCGGCGCTGGGAACCCGCGCTCCGCGAGCCAGGGAGCGGGGTCCAGCGCCGATCCCAGAAATCCGCGCGGAGCCCCGAAAGTTTATGATTATGCAGTTGTTTCTTCCTGCGGGAGGTCCACGCCGTGCTGGCCAGCACCGACGGCTACTGGGCCCTCCTCTTCCCGCGGAGCGCACAGAACCGCGCTGATGCACAGCGCGTGAGCGTATCTCAGCGCAGCGACAGAGTAAGGGAGTAACTGGCATTTGCGGAGAAAAGTGAGGGGGCGGGTGCGGGATGCGGGCTGGGTCGCGGGTGTGTCGCGGGTGTGTCGCGGCGTGGGTCGCAGGTGAGTCGTGGGTGTGTCGTCGTGGGTCGCGGCGTGGGTCGCGGGGTGGGTGGCGGCATGGGTTGCGGGGTGGGTCGCAGCGTGGGTCGCGGGTTGGACCGCGGGTTGGTCGCGGCGTGGGTCGCGGGGTGGTTCGCGAGTGGGTCGCGGGTGGGTCGCGGCGTAAGTCGCGGGTGGGTCGCACGGTAGGTCGCGGGCGGGACGACGACAACAACAATCATGTTAATATTGTTCGTTCTTTTCTGTTCGCGCGGCAATCAGTATGTATAGCTCAAACCCTCAATACACGCTCTCTTCTTCCTCCATCGTGCCCCCCCTTGGGGCATATCTTCCTTACTTGCCACGTGTAGTACAGACAGCGAGGAGGAACGGAGTGCGGGAAGGAAGCGAGGAAGGAACAGGCAAGGGGGACGGAGAAGGACGGAGCACAAGAGAGATCAGCAGCAGAAGGTGTTAGGAACAGGAGAACAGACGGCAGAACTCGACGGGCGGGTCGCGCAGGCTGATTAATGGGAGGGTCGAGCGGGCGGGCACAGATGGCCAGGTCGAGAGGGCGTGTCGCTGAAGCATCAGTCGCGCATACATCGCGTGGAAGTTGTTGATGATAACGCGATCCCCAAGTACATCGTGAGGAAGCCCACAGCGAGAGTATAATTTCGGAGCGTCGAGGGCGCGGCGTCTGAATACATTGCAAGGATGCAAGGATGTCCCAAGCGAGTGCACGATCCTTGGTCAAATTGTAAGGAGCTCCTGTGCGAGAGCACGATTTTGAATACACTGTAAGGAAGAATTCGGCGGGAGCCGCTGCTGTTGCAAACCAGGGGACAGCAACACAGTCTGAGGCAGACTTGCCCCTTCATATGAAACAGAGAACGGACCCAGGGATGGGGCACCTTCATCGAGAAACACCAGACGCACAAGAGGGGGGGACCAGCACTCACCATGCTTCAGAAATGAGAGTTCGCTTACAAACAACAACACCGATCATAAATTGCGTCACTGTATCCCACTTCACCCACGCACCCATCGATGGTGTAAGACCGTCCAGCCCCTTCACTCTGATAACGACACAGGGAAGGATTTGGCGAGAAGAGGGGGGTAGGAGGCGGAGGAGGAGGAGGAGGAGGAGGAGGAGGAGGAGGAGGGAGAGAATCATGCCGCAGCTCGGAACTTTTTTCATGTGGTGGCGCGGGCACAGTGCCGTGGGCGTCGGCACCGACAACGCGCTCATGCAGCGGGCGACAACAACTTTTGACGCTTTAGTCGATGGTCCGTGGGCCTTTACTTTCTGCACTCTGCTCTCTGCCCTTCGCTTGCTGCCAGCTCGCTGCTCCCCACAACTTCTACAATACATCCTGAGAGTGAGGGGGACGCGTGGTCTTACACTTTCCTTCGGTGTGTGTGTGTGCGGTCGGAATTTGGTTCCGCGATGCCGATTGTTGCTGCTGGTGTGTCTTGGTTGCTGTTATTGTTGTTGTTGTTGCTGTCGCCGTCGTCGTGGCGCCCGCGACCCGCCCTGCGACTCGCCCCGCGACCTATCCCCGACTCACCCGCGACACTCGCGACATCCAACCGCGACCCACGCTCGCGATCCATCCTCACCGAATCGAAAAGGGACCGCCGCATTCTTGCTGTTTGCATTACAGAAGTCGGCGCCCTTGGTGTTTCTTTTTGACAATGGTTTCCGACCCCCCCGACCCGCCGACGCGTCGGTTGTGCCAAACCAGCTTGTTACTTTGCGCGCGGGCTTGCGCTCGCCATGCGGCCGCGGAGATGCGCCCGTCAGCGCCAAGCAGTCATCGCAATCGCTGCCGCATGGGCTTTGCAAGCCAAGTCGCGGACGGGCTTGATTGCAAAAAGGGGCAAGGGTTTGTAACATCAGTTTCCAAAGATGGTCCGCGTGCGATCTTGGGGATATTCAAGGAAGCCGTGTGTGCTTCCAGGTTTTGATCAAAAGAGACCAGCCAGCCTCTCGCGCGCGCATGTCGAAATCATTTGAACGCCCTTGTGCACGTGCTGGGGTGGCACAGTCCCTGTCAAATGTCATCACGCGGGCAACTCGAGCACGTCGGCCGCGCGCGCATGTCGAAATCCTTCCAACACCTTTCTTACCGACACGTGGACACCATCGGCGTGATCAGCATCGGTGCCGTCATTCGCCTGGCTGTTGTCATCGTCATCGTCGTCCCGAGCATCGCTGCAATCATCATCGTGCCTGCAATTGTCGGCGTGGCCATGATACGGCGCCCGCCCGAGTCACCGACTCGCACGGACGTACCCGCGCGTCAGCGCGGTTTGTGAGACGCGGTGGAGAGTCCCCGATTGTCAGCTACATCGCGTCCGCGTTGCTCGTTCTAGACTCGGTGGCCGCTCTGCGCGCGAGCCTGCGCGCGCTAGCGCAGCCGCAGCGATGCGCCAACCAGCGCCAGGCAGGCGTCACAATTGCCGCCGGATGGGTTTTGCAAACCAACTTGCGGGTGGGTGGGTGGGATGAGTGTGCGAGGCATGGAGTTGATAATTCATTGGTGCGCACTGGTTAGTGGCACCTGGTAAATCAGACCACGTAGGTTGCACCACACATGTTGCACCGCATAGGATACACCATACACATGGCACCATAAAAATTGCACCACGTGAAGCGCACCGCGAAAATTGCTTTGCGTAGTACGCTAGAACACAGCCTTTGTGTCTCACGCTTGCTCATCTTGCTCCGGGCACTAGCAAGCCGCTAGATTGTTTTCTTTCCCCCCGTCCCTCCGCCGAGTTCCCTGCCCTCCGTGGATGTCGAGGAGGCGCACATGATGACAGTGCTGTCCTGCCTGGCCAACATCGGCGAGCAGCTGGACGGGGTGTCGCAAAGGTTCCGGGAAGACAACCCGCAGAAGGTCGTGGGCGGGGCGACCGTCGGCACCATTGGGGACATCGTCGCGTGGGCGAGCGAGACCCTGAGTTCCGCTTTAAGGTCGATTGGGGGGATGGGGATCGGAGGGGGAAGCAACACCGATACCCTTATTCGCCCCGGGGAACCATCGTCGGCACGACCAGATTCTCCTCCGAGTTCTGGCCGGAGTGCGCCCCCCTGCAGATGTTCTGGGAGCAGCGGCATGGGTACCTTTTGTCCCTCCCGAGGATGTGGGTGAAGAGTGACGGAACGCAGTCTCAATGCGTGTGTGCGTGTGTATGTTTGGATGTTAGCCGACGTTTGTGATGATGCGTTTAGGTCATACAGTGGCGTCGCAAGCCTTCTGGCCCATGTCCCAGTTGGCCTGCTTCGGATCCTCTGTCCTGCTGCAGGCAACGCCGAGATGCACGTCGCGACAGGCATCTGACACTGAGGCGCAACGCTCCGTTGAGCACCCATTGCGTCCTTTGCTAGAGCCATGAGTTCCTCTCCTGCCATCACCCTCGTGTTCACCCTTCTCCCTGCGGAAGGAGGAGCAAGGCTTCTGATCGCTTCCCCTCGCGCCACTCGGGTCCCGGGCCTGCGCTTTGCATGTTGGCCTGCGCGCTGCCCCAGCTTTGCATGGCACGGCCTGGCCCAGCACCACGCCCCAAACTGGAACACTGTTGCCAGAGCGAGACGAGGCACACTCTTGCGGGGCGTTCCGCAAGGGCACATCATCCTCATCCCCGCCCATGCGCTCCACTCCGACAGCCGCAGAACACCCATCCACGTCGTCAGGGTGTCGCAGCCTTTCCGCAGCCCGTGCCACAGCCTGCGTGCTCACTCGGGCGGAGAAGTTTTGTACTGGGGGCTCCACGGTACTAGACGAGCCAGAGGGAGGCTCATCCGATGGGTCGAGCATGCATTGATTCACCAGACGTGCTGAGGTGTAAGACCAGTACCGGTGCGCTGATACTGCGGGCGCCGAGAACAGTGCCAGGACGTCAAGAGTGTGCAGGTACGGTTGTGCCCCACCCCAGCTAGCAGTCTTCGTTGGTCGGGAATCTGTCTGAGGGGCCCTGGGCCGAAGGCGGCGTCCCGCGGTGTGCTGCGCGTGCCGTTGGCCGAGCGGTTCCACTTGCGCGGCCGTGGGCGCGCCCTGGTGCCTGCGTCAGCGAGGAGCGCTTCTGCGGGTTGCACGCCCGCTGAAAAGGACGTCCGCGGACGACCGCCAGGGCCGCGAGGATACCAGTCGAGGCACTGGAACCGAAAAGACTCTTTGGGGTCGGGGGGGGGGTCTGCGGCGTTCGGGCGGCTCCTCCGATCCAGGCCAGGGGGGCCTCCTTGTGGCGGAGGCTTGCCGACGCCCGAAGCGCCCCTCCGCTCCCCGGTGGCCTGGCGCCCCCCCGCCCCCATGCCAGCCTGGTTGCTGCAGTCGCGGGCCCCGCGCGTGGCGGCCCTGCGCGGGCGAGCTGCCCCCCGTCCTTGGCGGCGCGGGAGGGGCAGGGGTCGGCGCCTAGAGTGGGTGTGGCTGGGTCAGCGGGGCCACCACGCTGCGCTGAAGGTTTGGTGAGCCCTCGTCGGGGCGCGGCAGAGATTGCTGCCGAGGTCCTCGCCGGCCCCCGCCAGGCGCGGGTTGCAGACCACAGTCTTTGCAAGCCATACCCTTGGGAGTCGCCGAAGGGATGCCCCGCGTCTGTCTTCGATGAGGCTCCGATGTGTGCGGAGCAGGGGAATAGGGGGAGGAAGAGCTGCAGCAGCTCCACTGCAACCTCGGGTCGAGGAAGCGCAGGTATGATTGAGGCGTGTAGGTCGCCTGTTTGAGTTCGCTCTCTTTCTCTCTCTTGTTTCCAGCTCACGATGTTTGCGCCTCGATCCCATCCAGTCGGCGGCACGCACCGTCGAGAGGAGGGCGAGGAGGAGGAGGAAGCGTCGCCCGGGCCCGGTCACGAGGTCGATGCGGGTGAAGGCCGCCAAGGAGAAGAAGCCGAGCGGATGGAGCAAGCTGCGCGCGGTCACCTCCGATCAAAGCGGCCCCCCCGTCCCCCCCCCGAGGCCTTGTGGTCGCCGAGCCAGTGTGTGATCTCAGACCTCCTACGTCGTGTACGGTGGACGCGTGGAGGCCCATGCCAAGAAGCACCCTGCTTGCCTCCAGGGTGCCCTGGCTTTCTTGGGTTTCGATGCTTCTGCTGTGGAAAGGGTGACGTTCCCGCACCAAAAGGCAGTGGACGTCCTGGGGTCCCAGGGTTGGGTTTCTTGTGCAAGGTTTCTTGTGGTCGGGCCCCTACTGGCATCTTCCGATGTGCGAGCTCGTTCCTCAGCTGCGGCAGTTCGGGAGGCCGACGTCGCCTGTGCGCCCCGCTGAGGGCCAGCTGGAAGGGCCGTCGCGCCCCGCACAGGCAGTGCCACACCCTGGCTCTCGACCCCACCCCTGGCGTGGACCTCGCGCCGGAGGTCGCGCTGCTGGCCCAGTGGCTTGGGAGGGCCCGGCTAGGAAGAGGCAGCAGGGGCCACCGCCACGGAGAGCGCAGCGGGGGTGGGGCCAGCCCCTGGCCGGTGGCACGCCCCAGCGTCACCCAGTACAGCACGGCGCCCAGGCTTGCTGTCAGGCAGGGGTCGCCCCCCCCCCCTGCCTCCCCCCTCCGCGCTTGCCGTCCTTGCGCTTGCCCCCCCCCCTGCCTCCCCTCTCCCTGTCCTTACTTCTTGCGCCCCCGACGTCATGATGCTTTCATTGCGTCAGCCCTGGAGGTTTCGACCCTTTCTCCCCTAGACCAGTTTGTCACCCTGAGTTGTTTTTTGACGGTCTCGAGGGCCCGTAAGGGTCCCCAGAGGCCGAAAATAGCAAAAGTCCTCCCGCCATGATTTTTTCGTTGCCCGAGGGGGTCTGGGTTCCATCGTTCCCCGACGAACCCCCCGATGGTTTCTCGATGGCTGTGGTCGCTGGCTCTCCTCTCACCGACGGGGGGCCCCGTGACCGGGCGTCTGGACCGGGTCGCCCGCGGGGGGGGTGCAGGTTACCTTGGTCTCCGCGGCCTTGCCTTACCTGGCAGAGTGTACACGCCAGTCGTTGAATTTAGATATTTCTGGGCTCCCAGATCCCAATCTTCTTCAAGCGCCTTCCTACTTCAAGGATTGGTATGCGTCTGTTATGTGTTGTTGTTCCTTGAGTGGGCTCGAACCCAATCTACTTCAGCCGCCTTCCTACTTCATTTTTCTACCTACTTCTTCCGACCGGCGTGTGTCGGTGTTCGCCCTCCGACGCGGGCGGCGCCTGAGCGCGGAGATAGGCCTGCGCCTCTCGAAGAAGAGAGAAAACGCCACAAACATACACTGTTGGCGCTCCGCGCGGATTTCTTGGGTCCGCGGTGGGCCCCCACGGCGGCGCCTCCAGCGCCGCCCTTGGCGCGCTCCGCGCGCCAGGGAGGGGGGTCCAGCGCAGATCCAAGGAGTCCGCGCGGAGCGCCAAACGTTTACGTTTATGTTGTTTCTTCTGTTTTCTTTTGGCCTCGAAAGGCGCGGGGTGCGGCAAGCTGGGTCCGTCGGCCCAGGCCTCCCAGATGGGGTCCGAGTGGATGGGCTCGGCGGATGGCGCGCCGCATCGCCGACGCACCGCCCGTGCATCGCCGATGCGGCCGGAGGCGGAGCCCGATTTTCTCTACGCCGGCGGCGCCGATGATGCATCGCCGACGTCGCCGATGCATCGGTGATGTGCCGCCGATGCATCGGCGGTGCGGCGCGATCCTCCGGCCCGACCCAATCTAGGAGGCCTACCCAGCCCACTCCTTCGCGCTGCGGAGAAGCTGCGGCGCACGGACTCGTTGTATTTTGGGCCTCCCGGGGCCCTTGCCAGGCCCGGATCGGGCCCGTCAAGACACGACGCGGGATGGAACGCCGATCCCCAGACCATCTTTCGGTCCCCTTTCTGAGAAAGTCACGGCGTGGGTCAGCCACGCGCAGAGGGGGGTGGGGGGAGGGGGGAGGGCGTCTTAGAAGCACCCCTGCTTCTTAGAAGGCGCGCGCGCCTTTAGTGTAGCTGGAAGGCCTGCGCTTTCTGAGAAGCACCCGCTTTCCCAGAGGCCCGCCCCCGTCTCTCCACCCCCCTCTGTGCGCGCCGCCAAGCGGGGGGCCCGGGGAGGGACCTCGTGGCCGGAGGCTGCAGTGGGGGCGGCGGGAGGGGGCGGGCGGGGGCTGGGCGACCTTCTGAGAGGGCACCCTGCTGCTCGGAGGCCTCCCTGCCGTCCAAGGGGCACGGCCGTAAGCGCTCTGAGGAGGGGCCAGTCGCTTCTGCGGCGCGCCCTGCGCTCGACAGTTCTGAGATTCCAGCCTGCTGTAGCCTGGATCGCCAGACAGGATTCCGAGCACCAGAAAAGGACCGAGCCTCAAGGGTTTTCACGTGTCGGGCCCTGGGAAACACTCGTCCAACACTCTTTCGACTCTGTTTCGACAAAATTCAGGGTGCTCGAAGTTATGTTTGGGATGTGGTCCTTAAGTACGCTGGGCGCAACATAACTCTACAGGAGGAAGCCCCTCCCCCCATGCCCGCTTTAATCAGTCAGGTCAACAAGATGAGCATGTCTATGCTGATGAGCAAGCAGGTGCTGCTGCTGGAAAACGTCGCGTTACGCATACCTGTCCGATCCACCACTCCGACCTCGGCTTCGCATAGGAGTGATCCTTCGCTGGGGTCGCTTTTGGTGTGGGCCCACAGTGATCCCCCCAGCACTGGCTGACGCGCTCGGACTTGGCTTCCCCGCGGTCTCCAAAGCTGAACGCCAAAGGACACTCTTGCCCAGGGTCTCCCTTGCGTGTGACCGCCGATCCCCCTCATCCCCAGTTTCCCCCCTCCCTCCCCCCTCCTCCCGGACGGCAGGTGGAGGAGAGGAGGAGGGCGGGCCAGGAGGTGGATGAGGAGCCTGACCTCGCCTGACCACCATTTTTCTTGTGTGTATGTGGGGATTGTGTCACCCCCCTCGTGGTCGGGCGCTCCCCCCTCCTCCTGTCTCCCCCTCGAGCGAGCGCCGCCTCTCACTCACGCCAGGCGCGAGAGCGACTGGGGGTCGAGCTGCTCCGCGCAGCGCCACTATCAGGCTGCGGGGGGACGCCCGAGGCGAATCTCGGCAGCCTTCCAGCAACGCATGGAGGCCGGCCGAAAATCCCGGCGGATGCCATGCATCTCGGGATGCTGCGGCCTGCGTTTGGCACTGTTTTCCCCCGGGGCCCTGGGCGACCCGAGGAGGAGAAGGAGGAGGAGGAGGAGGAGGAGGAGGGAGGAGGAGGGGAGGAGGAGAGGAGGAGGAGGGGAGGAGGAGGAGGAGGAGGAGGAGGAAAGAGGAGGAGGAATGAGGAGGAGGAGGGAGGAGGAGGAGGAGGAGGAGGAGGAGGCGGAGGGGAGGAGGAGGAGGAGGAGGAGGAGGAGGAGGAGGAGGAGGAGGAGGGAGGAGGAGGAGGAGGAGGAGGAGGAGGAGGAGGAGGAGGGAGGAGGAGGAGGAGGAGGAAGGAGGAGGAGGAGAGGGAGGAGGAGGAGGAGGAGGAGGAGGAGGAGGAGGGAGGAGGAGGAGGAGGAGGAGGAGGAGGAGGAGGAGGGAGGAGAGAGAGGAGGAGGAGGAGGAGGAGGAGGGGATGGAGGAGGAGGAGGAGAGGAGGAGGAGGAGGAGGAGGAGGAGGAGGAAGGAGGAGGAGGAGGAGGAGGAGGAGGAGGAGGAGGAGGAGGAGGAGGAGGAGGAGGAGGAGGAGGAGGAGGAGGAGGAGGAGGAGGAGGAGGAGGAGGAGGAGGAGGAGGAGGAGGAGGAGGAGGAGAGGAGGAGGAGGAGGAGGAGGAGAGGAGGAGGAGGAGGAGGAGGACAGGAGGAGGGAGGAGGAGGAGGAGGAGGAGGAGGAGTGGAAGGAGGAGGAAGGAGGAGGAGGAGGAGGAGGAGGAAGGAGGAGGAGGAGGAGGAGAGGAAGGAGGAGGAGGGGAGGAGGGGACGGAGGAGGAGGAGGAGGAGGAGGGAGGAGGAGTGAGGAGGAGGAGGAGGAGGAGGAGTAGCAGGAGGAGGAGGAGGACGGGTCGCCTAAGCCCTTCGGAGAAACCTTCCACTGCGTTTTGGGGAGCGTGCCGATGTTAGGCCAGAGCGGGAGCCCCATGGAGGGGCCCCCCGCCTGCGCCCCTGCGAGCAGCGCGGGCGTCGAGAAGGTATTGCCGCGAGCGCACTGGAGGAGATTGGCTGAGTGTCTTCCTTGTGTGGCGCAGTCTAGCGACCCCCCTTTTGCGTTATCCGCGGGCGTGGACGTCCCTTGAAAGAAAGTTCACGTGGGCCCCTCGGCGCACCATGGCGGGTACCCAGGAGTACCCCCCTTGGGTCCTCCCAGGCACTCTTAGGCGCTCGCGGGCGCGCTCGCGCCTGGCTCTGCCCGAGGCGCCGAGGCATTGCCTGTCGCTTCCTGGGAGCTCCGATGCGCCTCCCGGACGCGCTCCAAGCTTTCCAGCGTTCCCAAGCGCTCGGAGTCACTCCTGGGCGCTCCCAGGCACCCCCATGCGCTCTCAGCCGCCCGGGGCCGGTCTCGCTCACTCGCTCCCTGACTGCTCCCAGGCGCCTCTGAGCACCGACTGGAGTTCACAGCCGCCGAGAGAAACTCCCCCGCATGCCCTGGGGCTCCCGAGAAACACACATGCTGCACCCAACGCGCTCCCAGGCACTGCCAGGCACTTCCCGCAGACTCTCTAGCTGCGCCAGAGCCCCGCTCCCATCGCACGTCATCCTTGTCTTCCGAGGGGGGCGCCAGACCCGCCCCCTCGAGCTCCCCCTCCCGCCAGCGCGGACGTCGCTGCTCCCCGGTCGCGGCCCCGCTGCTCCCCGATCGCGGCTCCGCCCGTGCGAGCGCGCCCGCGGGCGTGGGCGGAGCGCCGCTGGCTGGCTGCGCGAGGCCCCCGCGCTCGCGCTTCCCCGCGGCCCCCCGCCGAGAAGCACCGCTGCCGCCTCGGCACGCCCCCTGTCCTCCGAGGCCAGCCCGCTGGCTGGGCGGGGCGGAGCGCGTGGCAGAACGCGCCAGGGAGGCCCCGCCGGCCTGGAGCCCGCCAGCGTGCCACTCCTCCGCTCCTTAGCTGCCCTGACACGTCCGCTCTGAAGCGCAGCGCGCACCGTGTTCCAGGCGTCCGTGTCAACACGTTGCGTCTTGGCTCGACGTGTTGGCCCACGTGTCGGCGAGCGTGTCGCGCCGACCGTGCGTTTTCCATCTCCGTGCTGAGCTCCGTGTCGACACGCTACGTGTTGCGTCTTGCGCATCGGGGCAGCCAAGCTTCGGTCTTGTCCGACGGCTTGCTGGCATGCTGCTGCTTCAGCAGCAGCACGGCGATGAACTCCCCACGGCCTGTGCCACTAATGCTGCCGTTTTTTGGTTCCGGCCCCTGAAGATATGCAGAGGGGAGGATGCCCCGACTCTTCCCCCCAATTGCGCCTTCCGTCCTCACCATCCTCAGCCCGAGGTACTTCTGCTTCTACCTCTCCTCCTCCAGCATACACCCATGCACCTCACCCTCTTTCCCCCGGCATATCGACTCAAAGAAAAAAGTGCAGCCCCCATCGTTCCCTGGATAAGTACTGTGCCAGGGGGCGACGTAGCTCCCGCATCTATTTGAACGCATTCGTTTGACACATTCGCTCGACGCAAGCTTATATCATTTGTTAGATCGCAGCGCTGCTTGAAGCTCAACATCGTGCTCTCGCCAGAGCGCTGGCATTATTTTAGGATCGGCGCCTCTTCCCCGCACGTTGAGAATGGCGCCCACGCCCAGCGCGGCCCACATTTCTGCATCCGAGCCCTGCCTCGTCGTTGACACCCCCCTCCTTTCCGCTCCGCCGCATCCATCCCCCATGCCCATCGTGTTCCTCCCGCTCCTCGCGCATCTGCTTCTCCTCCTCGGCTTTCCTCATGCTTCTCTTCTTCTTCCTGCTCATCCTCATGCTCATCCGCCACCTCGTCTCCCAATGTACAGAGCCCCTCCCTCTCACTGTGCAGCAAAAGATGAGATCATTTTGGGGGCTTCAGGTTCGCTTGGACCCCCATTGGCGGATAAAGCGACAAACAACAAGCAGCGGGAATGGATGGTTGAAAGGCAAGGAAGTCCGACATGGCGCGCGCACCTAGCTTGTCCTATCACACCCTTTTGTATGTAAATCAAAGTGAAAGGACCGAGCGGTCTTACACCATTCCGCGACGAGGGTTATTGGTGTTTGCTTGTTGTTTGTGTGTTGTTGCCGTCATCCTCATCCGCGACCGTCCCGCGACCGTCCCGCGACCCGCCCGCGACCTGCCCGCGACCCGCCCGCGACCCACACACGACCCACCCACGAACCGCCCGCGACCCACTTGTGACCCAACGTCGGGCTAAGTGTGCAAGGTGTAAAAAAATCTGCGCACATGGCGTTTTTTTTTTTGTTTCAGGGCCTCTCAGACTACCGCCGCCCCCTCCGCCCCCTCACTCTCATCCTCAACTGCGAGCAAGATGTAATGCATCGCGTCCTTTCCCTCATCACGTCCCTTCTCATCCCGTTTCTCTCTCTCTCTCTCTGTCTCTCTTCCCCCACCTAACCCTCCTCCTCTTCTGCCTCCGCCTCCGCCTCCTACTCCTCCTCCTCCTCCTCCTCCTCCTCCTCCTCCTCCTTCTCCTCCTCCTCCTCCTCCTCCTCCTCTATGGGCTCCTCGTGGGCGCTCCGCCCTGGGGGGAGGCTGCCGAGGTTTCACCTGTCGCCCGCCCGTGGGGTAGCATCGACGAGGAACGAACCGTGCGAAGTCACGAGGCGAGTCGACGCGCGACCCCAAGCGCACCCCAACGTCGGGGTGCCCGCGCCCGAGAGCGTTTCCGCACGGCCCGACGGCACTCTCGTCCTTCCGTCGCTTGGTCGGCGGTGATACCTCGTGGGCGCCTCGTGTGCGCCTCGGTAGCTTGGACCACGTAGTTTGCACCACGCAGGTGCCACAGCACAGCCTGCAGCACAAAGCTTACACCACACAGCATGCACCCCATAGCTTGCACCACGTAGTATATTGTTCCTGAAAGGCAGATCGGCGCCATCCCCTTCCCTGGGCCTGGACTGATCGCCCCCCCGCTCCCTTGGGACACTGCAAATTTCAGATGAGTCTGCTTCATCGCTCATGTCCCAAATGAACGCAGACCATCCTAGAACAGGCTGTACCGCCCCATCCCAGACAGATGGCACTATGTGCGCGCACCCGTGCATGGCAACGCAGAAACGTTGCACAAGGTCCACACATGCGTGCGCACATGCTGGAAGCGTACCAACCATACCGGTTCTGCGCGCATTTCAACACAGAAACATAACAAGCCCTTAGTTTCACCATCACACATCTTGCAAACTATCTGCTTGCGCGCCTTGGCGGAAACCATCGGGGAAAATTTGATGTTAGGAATCTCGCCCAGAAGCCTCATTCTCATTTCACCACGCGGTGCACCCTCGTTGATCCAGGATGCGCCTAGTGCACAAATCCGTATCAACAAATCCATGCGGGCCACGCGCGCGCCGCCACGCGCGCATGCCGGAGTCCTTCCAAAACCCTATATGTTGAAGTTTTTCATGGTAGAGTTCTCCAGCACAGCATCAAGTCCGTGTGCTTGTTCAACTAAATGGCTTGCGAGGTTTCTTGCAGCTCCCCGCGCGCATTTCCTCACCATTATGTTCACCTGCGCGCCCGCATTACTTTTTTGTCATCCGCAATCACCGCTACTGCCGCCGTCATCAGTCAATTTTTATCATCATCGTGATGGTCGCCACTGCCGCCGCTTTGCCGTCGTGATGGTCATCATCGCCACAACCATCGCAACTGTCATCATCGTTGCCGTCGTTGCCGTCCGCGCCCGCCCAAGTCATTGGCCCGCATTGCAGTGCCAGCGCGATAGCGCAGACTGTGAGACGCGTTGGGAAGATACCACCATCGGTCAGCGACAGCGTGGCCGCGTCGGTTGTGCCAAACCAACTGGCCGCTCTGCGCGCAAGGTTGTGCACAACAAGTTGTGGGTCGGAGGGTGGGGCGATTGCTCGAGCAGTGGAGTTGCCAACCTTAAGTTCTGCAATTTCTACCACTCCACGTATGTTTCAAAATATTGCTTGCAGCACATAGTTTGCACCACATAGCTTGCAACACGTAGATTACACCAAGGAGTTTGCGTCACTTAGTTTGCACCACATAGCTTGCGCCACTAATATTTTGCCACCTGGCTTGCAGCACGTAGCTAGCACCGCATAGCTTATACCAAATGATTGCATAAAGTAGCGTTCACATCCACGGTGAAATACCTTACGGTTAGGGGTCAACGCTGGATAACAGCAGATCGTTTCTTTCTCGCCCACCCCACCTTCAATCTCTGGTAGGTGCCCTCCTGGAGGTGCGTGAAAGGTCGCTTCCCGAAGGTTGCGGGAAGGGAGCAGCAAGGGGGCGAGTGTGAGGAGGAGGAGGAGGAGGAGGAGGAGGAGGAGGAGGAGGAGGAGGGGGCGGCGGAGGTGGAGGAGGAGGAGGAGGAAGAGGGAATGAGATCAGGACAAGGAGGAGGAGCAGGTGAATGAGGAGGGGGAGAGGAAGAGTTGGAGAACGAGGGGACGGAGGAAGAGGAGGAGGAGGAAGAGGAGGCGGGGGCGAGGTAGGAGGAGGAGGAGGAGGAGGAGGAGGAGGAGGAGGAGGAGGAGGAGGAGGAGGAGTAGGAGGAGGAGGAGGCGAAGGAGGATGCAAAGCCAAGAGTATTCAACGATAGTGTAATAAAACCTTCCTCCAACCTCTTTTTTCATAAGTCCCTACAAGGACTCGTTTTCACTGAGGGAAGTGCCCCGCTGGAAGACGCTGGAAGACAACGGTGTGAACATCTCAAGCCGAGCCAGAGAAACGTTCGTGTTCCTTCCACGCAGCCGTTCAGCGTTACTGATGCATCCCGACGACCTTGCACCGCGCCAGAGCCCCATCCGTGGCCGCTGCGCCCTTACAGTCTCACATCGTGCTCAACACCGTTTCTGGGACGTAATGGCTTCTGCATGCAGCTGGCATTCGCGCACTCTCCCGGAGACGGACAAAGAAACAGGGTGGTGGTGGCGTCTCGCGTTTGGAGGACAAGAAAGAGGCCTGAGACCCCTGGGAGGGCATGGTGTAAGCTCATCCCCCCCCCCCCAATTTGCAGTAGGAAGCAGCAAGTAGAGCCATCACAGTGAAAACTGGAAAGTGCAGCTCGTGCGCGGGGCCGCAAGCCTAATCCACGCAGCCTGGCGGCCCCGCAAGGGGCCCGGCGGAGGAGGAAATAGGATTGAGGAGGAGGAGGAGGATGACGACGAGAGGAGGTGGTCCGAGGGGGACAGTAAATGGGGAAGAGGTAGTGGATTGGCAATGCGAGAGGGGTTGGGAAGTGGGAAGGAGGCGGAAGAGGAGCAGGAGAAGGAGGTGGAGGAGGAGGAGAAGGAAGAGGAATAGGAGGAGGAGGCGAAGAAGGAGGAGGAGGAGGAAGAGCCAGAGGTGGAGGAGGAGTAGGAGGAGGAGGAGGAGGAGGAGGAGGAGGAGGTGATGGAGCAACTTGCGGGGGACAGGAGGGGGGAGGAGAACGCGGAAGCGGGGAGAAGACGAATAATGATGATGAGGAGGAGGAGGAGATGGAGGGGGAGAGGGGGAGGTGGAGGCGCAACGGGGCGGATGCGAGGGCGCCTTGTGGAACCTTGGCCGCGATGGGGCGCTCCGATGGCGCGCCCCGCGGTCGCTGGTTCACCTTCGGAGGTGCGCATCGGCGTGGACGGCTCTGCCGCGGAGCGCCCCGCGGTCGCTGGTTCACCTTCGGAGGTGCGCATCGGCGTGGACGGCTCTGCCGCGGAGCCCGAGGGGTCAGGCCACGGGCCTCAGATGCCTCACCCGATCGTCGCGGTCGTCGAACGTCCTCGGCCGGTTGCGTCACTTCCAGCATCTGGGTGCCGTTTCCTGGCGGCCGGGCCCCAAAAAACGAATGAGGATGAAAAGCAGGTCCCCCCAAAGAGGCCGCGATCCTGTGGGGGGGGGAGGAGGCGGAATTCCACGACAATTCTGCTTCGCTGTAGGAGGAGGAGGAGGAGGAGGAGGAGGAGGAGGAGGAGGAGGAGGAGGAGGAGGAGGAGTCCTGAGGAGGAGGAGGAGGAGGAGGAGGAGGAGGAAAAGGAGTTGGAGGAGAAGGAGGAGGAGGTGGAGGAGGATGATTGTCCCCGGTGGGCACCAGACCTCAAACCCGTCTGGCGTGAAACTCTTGCAGACGTGTTTGACGAATGTGCGCGGCGCTCAGGCGAGAGCCGCATTTGGAGAGCGGCCCGCCCTCCAGCCGCGAAGCTGTTGCAGATGCCAAGCCTGAGGGTAGCACGCGGCGAGGAAGTCTCGGGCGAAACGCCCGGCCCGCCGTGCCGACACGCGTCGGGGTTCGACAGGGAGGAGAAGGAACACTCAGGAGGAGAAAACACACACACAGACACAACGAATCGCCGATTCCGACGAAGATATGGGGAGCTACGGGAAGTGGGTGGGGACACAAATCGAGAACAGATTGAAGACGATGGGAATCGTCGGACCCGTGTCTGTTTATGTGTGTGCCCCCAGGCCCCTTCAAGAGAAAAGGAGGGAGGAGGCTGCTGCGGATGCGCCTCTGCGCGGCCGTCCGCGGGCTGTGGAGCAGTGGTGCTGTCAGTCGGCCCCCGCCCCCGAGCCTGACCGCTGTGACGACACGTCCGCCTGCGGAGCCGGTACCCCCTCCAACGCGCCAGCGCGCCCCAAGACGAGGAGGAGGAGGAGGAGGAGGCGAAGGAGAAGGAGGAGGAGGACGAGGAGGAGGAGGAGGAGGAGGAGGAGGATCGACGTTGGTTGAGCGGTTTGGGTCCCTTGTTCTGGGCAGGGGCCCCGCGGGGGCCTCCGCGGCCTCGCCTCCGTCGTAGAGCTGCTGCTCCTGCTCGCCCGTCCCTCGAGTCCTTCTCCCCCCTGCCCCCTCTGCTCCTGACCTGCGTGGTGATTGTCCTGCCTCCGTGGCCCCCTCTTTTCCAACCGCACTCGTGTGGCGCAGCTCGGCGCACGCCGCCGGATTGCAGACGCGCTTGTGTCCGCCTGAACTGCAGGCAAGCGAGACCGTCTAACCCGAGTGGTCTGTTAATTAGTCTTGCCCTTGGCTTGACGCTGGACTGGGCCGCATCTAGTCAAGGGGACTTCCCCTCTTCGAATGCAGCCATGCTGGCCACGCGCGCACATGTGCCGTGTGAGGTGATGCGCTCGGGAACTTTTGCACAGCTGGTCGCTTCGCCGGTTTTTGCCCACCACGCTTCGACGCCACACGCTGTCCACGTCCAAGTCCCCAGGTCTCAGGGTCCCGAGCGGTTCCGAGCCTCCCGCCTTGCGGAGCGGAGCGACACGCTATTTGCTTGCATGGGATAGCGTGTCGCTGGAGCCGCCGCCGCGACACGCTGCGCAGCATAGCTACGCAATGGTTCCCGACCTTACATGTGCGTTTCGAAATTTGCCGTGTGAAGCAGTAGCACGGGAACATGCCCGCGCGTGCCAGCCCTTGTTAACGCTATGCCCCACATGCGCGGATGTGCTCATAAACTTGCACGGCCGTGTGCATTCACCGGGTAGTGCACTTTTCACATGCGTGCGCGTGATTACGCATCCGCGATTGGGTAAGGACATGACACCATCCAAGCGCAAGGGAAGATAGTTTCAGCGTGCTCGGGGACATGGGAGGGGACATGATCGCGTTCGCTTTCCTATAATCCCGTCCCGTCCACCCATCCTCCTCCACATCCTCACTTCTCCGCCTCATCCTCCCCTCTCCTCGTGCCCCCGCCTCGTCCACTTCCCTCCCCGCCTAAGCCCCCTCGTTCTGATTCCTCCTTTTCCCTCTCTCCTATCCTCCTCCCCTGTCAGTTCTCTTTCTCCACCGAAGTCCCCTCTCTCCTCCCCAGGTATCCCGGCTCCTCTGCCCCCTCTTGCACCAGGTCTCCTTGACGACGTCGGGGCTTGAGCGATAGGTACTGGCAAGATGCCATTCCACAGCGCGTGTTCAAACAATCGTGCGCAAGGCCAGCCTGGCAGCGACGGCATGGGCGGCTCCTCTTGCGTTGCTTCTCTTCAGCCCCATGCCCGCCCGAACCGATATTATCATATTATGGCTGGGACATATAGGAGGCGCACAGTTCTGACGCGATCACCTTGAGAGGAACTGTTAGATGGAGACGAGGCGATCACGTTACACACGGTAGAGTAGAAGGCACGAGGTATATAGATGCAGGATGGGGGACGGGAGAGTTGACAAACAAAAGCGCGGGCATCGCTATAGCATTACAAGGGCGACTCAGAGGAGCCCAAATCCTCAGCGGACGGAGCCACCCTCGGAATGATGCGGATGCGGACATGCTGTCACCGTACAGCATCAAGAGCTACGCACACGACCATCGGATACGAGTGCCCGTCGCAGCCCAACAAAAGCAACGCCACAAAACAAAACATATCGCCCGCTTGTTGAGGTGCATGGAGGAGACAGCGAGGGATAAGCCCAGACATGGCGCACCGATCGTCGCGGCGAGAAAAACTACCATGAGGAGCAGGACAGGAGGACAGGCTTTACGCGGAGAAGCAGGGCACGGCGGTATTGAATGCCATGGGGAACAGGCGACCTACGTATTTCGACTACGTCATGGCACCGCAGAAGCTGGCGAACAGCATGATATCGCACTGCCCATTGCCGCACACGGGCACACGCCTGCAACGCATGCCATGTCGGGAACATATGGGGCCACGTACAATTCCAGGCTACGCGACGACTACAACTACGACAACGACTCCGACAATAGCACAAAACTACACATAGGAAAAAAGATGGATTGGTGCAAGCAGCCAGACAGGGATACAACAGGAATGAGTTCACCCGGGACACCGAGCAGAACATGGACCAGTACAAAGTTGAGAAGAAAGGCGTACACGCACTCTTCCAAGACACCAATGAGATGACCATCGGCCCGGCTCAGGGCTTGCACCAACGACAGCGCGGACCAACCCTCGCGACCAACATCTACGCAGACAACCCACACAAAGCCGAAAACTATTACAGAGGCTAAACGCCATGTAGCACCGACCCCGTCGCCACAACCTTCCCAGAACCCGGGCGGATTCAGGTGAGGACCCGATGCCGAAAACCCATATGGGAAACCCAGAAGGGGCCCTAAACAAACGCAGACCGAGCTTAGCGAGACAGAGTCGCACTCAGAGAGATAGAGCATGAGCCCACACACGCTCGCGATCTATAGCAGGATGACGATACGGACCACGCAAACGAGACGACTGGACGGATGTCAACCCCACCATGCAGGAGTGGATCGATTTTGGGGAACTATCAGGCGGCGAAGGAGGAATGGGCGGCACGGGGCAGCGCGAGGAGGAGCTCGCGCAGATCCGACATGTGGCGGAATAACGATATGAATCCGACAGCGACCTGGAGGAGCTAGCGGGGTCAGGCTGCGATGTGATCATGAAGAGCTTGAAGAAGGCCAAAGTGCGCATGGCGGCTCCGCAGATGTCGGCGCATTCGGAACTATGGCGACTACGACTAATGAAAGCGCACTCCTGGACTACAGCAGCAACGACGGCATGGACTGGGAGCGAAAGGAAAAACAACGCAACCTGAAAGCTTCGAGGGTATCTTCAGGGCCGCGCTGGAGGCAATGAGACTTGACAACTTACAACAAGCAAGATGTCATCACAGTGCAGCGAAATCAGTAAGGAACAGTGCCAGGAAATGCCCCGCAGCGAAGAGCATCCACCACAGCGTGGACCCGATCGGCAAGTTGCACTATTCGGCAGGGATGAAGAAACAAGGGCAAGGGTCACAGCGACCAGGACGACGGCTTTCTCAGGGGATGACGACGGGATGGGGGCCAGCCTGACAATGGCAGTGGTGAAATGCACGTCCACGTTATATGACATGTCCAAACGCCTTGGCGAGCTGCTCTCGACGAGACTCGAGCAGCTGCCAGACAGCGCCAGAATGTCAATGGGACCTGGGAGAGCAGTGGCATCGCCGAGCCATTCTCAACGCGCCTTGCAGGCGCGCGGGCAACGGAGCATGCATCGAACAGCGCTGCACAGGGGCTCGCCGCCGCATGCGGCTCGGCACTTCGCGGCGACTTCCTCATTTTGCGTCCAGAGATGTGTAGAGGACTGAGCGGAAGAGATCGAGGCGGACAGCTTTCTGCACGGCAATAGCGAATTAACCCTGCAGCCAGTTTACTTCGGCCCCGCCAATCACGCAGACGACGTTGGAAAGCCGATCTTATGAGGCCGCGACGCGAATGCGAAGGAGATGGTGGACACGGCGCAGCATGTAGGCGAGAAGCCCCCCCGCCCGTGGCTGGCGGACACTGGCGCGACAGAATCGGGGCAGGCTGGATATCAGAATGTAATTCCAGGGCGATAGCGCCGTCAAGACGAGGCGCGACCGCAAGAAGAAACCTAGCTGCAATATGCCGGGCAACGCGCGTGAAGCATCGCGCTATCTGGGCCCAAACATCACAGCGACGCAAAGCTACGCCGCGGAGCTCCAGAAGCGCGCCTCGGCCATGAAGAAGAGCTGCTACGAATGCGGGGTCATCCAGACAACGGCCGGCATTCCTGTCAGGTGGAAGCGCGCGGCCATGATCTGCAGGGCCGTCAGCGCGGGCCGCTCGCGAGTTGAGCGTTCCCTTCCGACGCAGAGCGCGCGCCGGCAGCTGCAGGGCGCGGTGGGCGAACTCCTCTGACGGGCCATGGGGGGAGGAGCTGCTACTCGCCGTCAACGCGGCAGCGCGAGGTGCGCGCCCACCTTGATGGGCCAGCGGGAGTAGCATTGGCCCGCAGAGCTGGCCGGGGTACAACAGTCTTGAGATTCCCGAACAACCGCCGCCAGTTGGTTGCAGCGACGTCCGGCCGAATCGAATTTGAGAAGAAACAGCGGCGACGGCGTTGCAGAGGGGCGCGAGAGCGACGCGAGCCCCTGGGCCCGAAGATTCGCGATAGAGACGTCGTTTGCGCCCGCGAGGTTTCAGGGGGATTTCGCGCGGCGCTCGGCGACGCGATCTGCCCCGGCAAACTGCGCGCGCTGCGCGCACGAGGGCAACTAGCTCTACTGGGCGTTCAAAAGTAACGCCAGCTAAGCTAACAGCGGCGGCGCCCCCGCATGGAGCTGGAACGAACAATCAATGCCCGCCAGGACAGCGTACTTCGCCATGCCCAAGCTGTTGCTGTTTGGCTCTGGACACAGGGAGTTGCTTCAAACATTTGCGCGCTTGTCGAGACAGCTGCTACTGCCTCGAGAGCAGGATGGCGCTATCCGGTTAAGCGACCACAGCGGGGCGCGGCGACACCTGCAGCCGGACCGGCGCGCCGCGGCCGAAGTTGGCAGGAGCGACCAGCGCCCGCGGGACAAGCATGCGGGGCGACGGCGGCACCCAAGAACCACGCAATCGACCTTGCGGCGCGCTTGGCACTCGCGCTGGCAAGGGAGTGGGCGAAGCTGGCCTCGGCGTTGTCACAGACGCGGGGGATCTCGTCTGCCGCGAACCTAGCTGTTGTGGCGCTCGACAGCGGCGAGGACTACAACGACGCGGCGCAGGACCTGCGCAGAAGGGCAGCTCATGGAGCGCGAGTCGATTCTGCGTCCCTCGGCAGCCCGCGCGTGAAGATCTGGGCGGACGCCGTGATCTGCCTGCGACGCAACCTGGAGGACAGCACGGCGAAGCAGTCCATTGGCAAGTACAAGCGGGAGGCAATCTCCAGTGGCAGTGCGAAGCTGGTGGCAGACTCCGCCCTCGCGTTCAGGGCGAGGCGCAACAAGGGCAAGCAGGGCGGAGCAGCGGAGAAGCGCAGGTTCCAGTTCAAGATGAAGAACGCACACCATCAACTCGAAATCATCGTGGTGAGCAAGCTGAGACACGAGAGCGCCGCGCGCAAAGTGGAGTCGGCGCCTCGGCGAGCGCTGGAGCGGGAGCTGGAGTGGGGCTCAAGAAGATCGTCGGGGTGAGGCCGCAGAGGCCGCAGAGCATGGCGTGCAGTTTTGATCCGTTCCGCAGACCTCCCTCCCCCTGCGCTGCGCCGGCAGATTTCGAAACGAGCGCTCGCTTTCGCGAACTAGTACAGAATGGTGGGCTCCCACCTCCACCTCGGCAGGATGCTCCTGGGATTTTCTAGCTCCAGAGTCCGAACTTCCCGAACTATTTCTCGACGCGCCGACCTTCCCCTCCCTCCCTGGGCCGGAAACGAAAGGGAAAGGGGAAAGGGGGCCAGGGCAGGGGCGGGGAGAGGCAGCGGAGAGGGCATCCGTAAACGCGGGTGCTACTCTGCCCGCGGATCCCTGCGTGGGGAGGTGGGCGCAAGTAGGGCCAGAGCGCCGCATGTCGCCAGCGACCCCCTTCCCACGATGTGCACACAGCTCGACCATGCGAGATGTTTGAATGCAGC